GAAGATTATGCAGTTTTGTAAGTATTATTTACTTAATTTGAAGTTGTTTATTTATCAAATTTAGTTTAATTTTTAGTTAGTTACATTTTAAATAGATCTAAATATAATTTTCTAAATTAGTTATGCTTTTATAGAATTACTGAGATTTAAATTAGTTTATAGTGAAAATGACTTTTTGGTAAATGTTCATTTTCAATTTGATAGATCTCATCATTATGATTAGTATATGATCATTCACCTTCTTACCTTAGATCAACTAGGGGCTGAGAGAAGACTACCCTAGTTTTGTTTATGATCATTGTAACACCCTAAAATCTCCTTCTACGGAACTACTAGTATAATACGTATAATTATACCGTAGAGATAGACTTAGGCGTATTACCGCCGCGTGATTACGCAAGGCTACTTAAACTACTAATTAAAACATGACTTTGCAGCGGAAACTTAAACGGTTCTTTATTAATACTTAAATAAAATAGTAACCATTGTCATGAGTACTCAAAATAGAAACAAAGATCAACATTCCTAACTAAGTGAAGCATATCCTGGGACTCCCAAAATGCTCATATATTGACTCCGCCTGAAATTAGTTAATATTGCTTACCATTAAGGTAAACAGGACGAACCAAAACAAATAGGAAATACGGGTTCGCAAAATATGCTAAGTATGATAAGTGCAAGATAAGTAAACTCAATATATTAGCAAACATGCTTTTAAAACCAATTCCAATAATTAATTCAATAATTCCATAACTCATGATTCAAAACCAATTCTCAATATTCTCAAAACAATTCTAATAACTCAATAATTCAACGAAAGTGATTATTAAAATCAATTCTTTTCAAAAATCCAAATCCTCTCCTAAGTGGGCACACCCCCCGAGCTAGTATCTTTATATTAAAAGGTTATTCTTGAGGAAAGACTAGGTCATACAAAGTCCATAGTCTTAATAGGATCCGCATAGTGGGATTAATATAATAATCATGCTTGTAAAGCTTTTATAACTAATTCTATAAATCCTCTTTAAATCAATAATTCCATTCTTTATAATAAACAACTCAAAACTCCCTTTTTTTTAATTCAATATGCTTTTAAAATCAAACCTTTTTAAACATGATAAATAATTTAATTATTCAAAACAAGATATAAAATCAATCCTTCAATTTATATATTAAAACCAATTCTTTAAACATACTTTATTTCATAAATCATAATTCAATTCAATTTAATTCAATTCAATCATCATAAAAATCATTCAAAACATACTTATCCAATCAAATCAATTTCAATTAAAGGTATCTAGCCACTTAAACGTACCTTGATCCTTCCTTAGCAAACACACAAAAAGAACTTCAAGAAATCTTGTCAAACACATCCTACAAATAAATATAACCTTAATCAACATAAGGTTAACAAATAATCACAACAATTAAAATAAAACCCCTACATGAACCTTATAATTTTTTATTTATTTATTATTTTTATAGACTTGAATAATAAACTGATTTTATTTAATTAATACAACTCATAATATTTTTTTATAAAACCCCCATAATAATAATAATATAATCAATTAGGAGAAGAGAAGAAAAATAGAAAACAAAAGAAGAAGGAGGAAGAAGTGGTGGCAAGGAGCAGCAACACCACGACACGTGATTGCTGGTGGACGGAGGTGGTGGCTGGAGTCGGTGGCTGGCCTGAGCAGGTGGTAGCCAGCGGTGGAGGTGGTGTTTGTGGTGGTGGTTAACGCAAGAATAAGAGAAAGAGGTGGGGAAAATTAGAGAGAAATTAGAGAGTTTTGGTGTGATTTTTTAGCTATGACTCAAGGGGTATTTATAGGCTAGTTCATGCAAGAATTATGGTAGAAAAATGTAGGAAGAATTATGGTAATTTGGTTTAAGAAATTACTTGGAGAAGAGAGCTAAAAAATTAAGGAAAGTTTAGTTTTATGGTGACTAAGGAATAATTAATTATGAAAATTATGTTGTCATGAAAAATAATATGGCAAAAGGGCTTTTCTTGGGGAATAATCAAGAATGGTTTAAGGTAAGGAAATAAGGGATCAAATATTTGGGAGATGGAAAATAAGAATTAAGGACAATAATAGAATTAAAGAAGATAATTAAAATACAAAAATTTCCAAAATAATTATCTCAAAATATCATATGGTGGCCGGAAATTTTCAGCTTTCCTAAGCTCGTATTTTCGTACCTCCCTATTAATATTTAGGCATAATTTTGCTAGATTTTAAGGAATAAAAATGATTGTGTAAATAATATATTTTGTATTAAATAATTAATAAGGAAAATACCAATTATTCACCAATTAAATTAACAAAGAAAAATCAGATTTTATTCACTAAGAAAAACCAAAAATTCCTAGCTAATTAATTAGGAAATTCGGCCTTAATTAAATAAATAAGAAAATATAATTTGCTTAATTAAAATATTCGAAATAATATATATATATAATCCAGTTTTTAAATAAAATAAATGGATAATAAATATTATCCAAAATTCAAAAATAATAATTACGTTTAAAAATGCTTTTGGCGCCAAAATTCAAATCTCATTTTGGCTCCAAAAATTCAAATAGTAAAATAAATTACTAAAACACTCTTTTAAGAAAATATTAATTAATTAATCAATTAGAAAATACGTTTCAAAAATACGGGGTATTACAATCATTCACATATTAATGAATGTTTCCTAAAATTTAAACAAATGTCCATTTGAATTTAAATACGTACATGTTGATTCTCATATTGAAGATATTCATATAAACTATATTAATACATGTTCAACTGGCTCGTAGATTTGGTTTTACAAATGTGGTTCTAGAGGGTGATGCCGTGAATGTGGTGTGTGCCATCCGGAGCAAACAAGAGGGTGCTAGTCCGATGTTTCTTTTGCTTAATGACATTTATCGCTTAAGTAGTTTGTTTGATTTATTTGATTGTAATCATGTTAGAAGAGCGGGTAATACGGTAGCTCATTTAATTGCTAGATGGGATATAGATGATGAGTCGGAACGAATTTGTATAAGTGAGTTTCCCCAAAGCATTCAGACTTTGGTTGAGCTCGATACCCAAAGCATTCAGACTTTGGTTGAGCTCGATATAATTTAATGAAATTTTCCTGCCTGGCTTCATAAAAAAATTAAAAAAAATACATGTTCATCTTCATATTAAATAAATATATGATCATGAGCGTCATTTGAATATTATACTATATACATTTTAACTCTTATATTGATAGATGTTTATTCGAATATTGGTACATAGATGTTCATTTGGATATGTGTATATTCACACGTATATTAATGTATGTTCATTCACATGTTAGAAAATGATTATTCAGTGTACACCTTTGATGATGCTATTTTAAAATATAATACTCCCTCCGATTTTTTTTTAATTGCAACTTTTGCTATTTTAGTCCGATCAAAATTAAATGCAACTTTCTATTTTATTTCTATTTTGGGTAAACAAAAACCTTGAAAATCACTACTTTACCAAGTGGTGGGCCAAACTTTCTCTCTCTACACACTACTTTAAAGTATTTTACCCACTACTTTACCAAGTGGTGGGCCAAACTTTCTCTCTCTACACACTTTAATCACCTTTAATTAACCCCACTACTACATACCCCTTAACTTTTGCCTCGTGAACCGCAATACACACCAAAGTTGCAATTAAAAAAAAATCGGAGGGAGTATAAACTTATGGTATTTCATCCACATATAATATCAATACATATTAAGTTGTATTTTGACATATGGGATTATTAATTAATGGTCATTTACACATTAAAAGATATTCATTTGGATTTTGATATACGGAGTATGTTTTTTTCTTTTTTCATATTAGTAAATGTTCATTTAGAATTTAATACATGTTCATTTAGATTTTGTACCTTTTCAATCTCATATTGAAATATTTTTATTACATTATAGTGTGTTCATTTTTAATTCGTAATTGTTATTCATGCATAAATGTTAGTTCAATTTTGAATCCTCATCGTGGTAGTCAATCTTCATGTGCCTTTCGTGCACCCTCTCCTATCGTGTGGCCTCCCTTACGTACTCCTACTCCTCCCATTGTGAGACCCACTCTTTGTACTCCTTCTCTTTCTACTTTTACTCGTCCTACTCCCCCTTCGCCGCCCACTTCTATAAGACTTATAATAACTACTCCTACACCTCAACATACTATTGTCACATCTCCTCCATTGGTTCAACGCCAATATTCATAGAGTTCGACGATGAGGTACTAGTGACCCTTAGGGTGGAGTTACTCTACATGACATTCTAGAGGACGGGTTTGCTTCACCATCTTCATCATCACTTTTTAGGAAGAAGCAACGTACGTACAAGTTAGGTGCAGAGATTGAGATCGTGTTGCTAACATTATCATACATAATTTGCAAATGTTGATTGAGTGACATTTGACATTTGTTTAGTGTAGTTGACATTGCTTGTAAAGTCACTTGAATTATGATTGAAGTTTGATAGATTAAAACAATGGAATTCATAATTTATTCTCATAATGGATGTGTAGATGAGATTAGAGTGTACGTGATTTGATTGATTTGCATATTAATATTGAAGCTTTTACATGCATGGTGATACGTAGCGGATTATATAGGGTGTTTTGCAAATTGAAAACTTTTTATTTTCTTTTAAAAAAAAATATACGGTAGAAATCGCTACTTGAAGTAGCAATTTATATAGCCAACCGCTACTTGAAATATTGGTTTTAAGAATGAAACCGTCACTTTAAGTAACGGTTATCTTTAGTAAACATCGCACTTCAAGTGGCGATTTTAAAATACAAACCGCTACTTCAAGTGACGATTTTCCACTACTACATTTTTTATCTAATGCAACGGTGAAGACAGAGCTAATACAACGACTATTCTATTACCGTTGTATTAGACAAGGCTAATACAACAACATCATGTTAATTATATCAAAAACTGGGCTAATACAACGGTTTTAAAAAACCGTTGCATTAGGCCAGCTAATCCAACGGCTCATTTTGGCTAATCCAACGGCAGTATTGCCTAATCCAACGACACATTCTAACCTACGCCCGCCTAGGCTAATCAAAAAGCAAAATGGCTAATGCAACAGCACTGCTTTTATATTGGTGCCAAAACGAAATTTCCATTTATTAACTTCCCTCCTCATTTTTCCCCAAATACATCTCACTACGCTCGCAATTACCCAGAAGATAACTCATTTTTCCCTAATTTTCATTTTTAGCTCTGTCTTCGTTCCCACGCCCTTCAGTTCCTCATTTTTCCCAATTCAGTGCCCAACTTTGTTCACAAATTCAGATTTTTTTTTCCCAATTCACGATTCGCCAAGCTTTGTTGACAAGTAGATCAGGCGAATTGAAGGAAGGCGCTGGCGGTAGCGGTGGTAGTGGCTGATTGCTTGACTCTTGCATGTGACAAATTTCCTCGGATCTTTTAAGGTATACCTCAATTTGCTCGAATCTCTGGTGTCTTTGTGATTAGGGTTTGTGTTAATTGAATTTTGTCTTTGTGTTTATGCCGGTGAATGGTTTGGTTTTAATTTTTTCGGGTTTATGTCAAATAATAGACAAAGGAGTATATAATCTGGGTTTGAAATTTTCTGGGTTTGAATTCTTCTGGTGTATAGTATAATTGTGTCATTATTTATGCATTTTTGAGTTTTTGAGTCGAGTTTGGAGGTTGATAATGTTAAGCTTTATGTGTCGGGTATTGGGTTTGAGTTGAAGTCTCGCTTGGATCATTGGCTTGATGGTGCTGTTAGACGTCGTGTTAAAGAATTAGAGTTAGAGATTGGTGTGCAGGAATGTCCTAGATATAGTTTCCCTGAAAGTGGTCTTGTTGCCAATTCAATCACGAAGTTGAAATTACGTAAATGTGAGGTGAATGTCTGTGATGGATTATCTACTGCCTTCTTTACGGGAGCTCTGTCTCGAAGATTTTTGTTTAAATAGTATAGCGTTGGAGAGTTTACTTGGTAATTGTGTTTATCTTAAGAATGTCACTTTAATGAATTGTGATGGGTTGAGAACATTGGAAATCTCAAGTCTTACTAAACTTGAGAAGGTGACTTTTGGGAAAAGTGCGTGTTTAACTGTTAATGTGGAATTGATTAAGGTCGATGCACCTAATCTTCTAGAGTTTAGGTAAATATATGATGGCGACTCCATTGGTAATACATGTCAGATTGAGATTGTGGATTGTAAGATTATGAAACATCTGGAGTTAAATGGCTGTCATCTGGATGAAAATGACTTGGATTTCTTACTAGAGAATTTTCCACTTCTTGAAGAATTATTTTTACAAAACTGTGATAATCTAGTAGATGTCGACGTTTATTGTCAAAATCTTGTCAAATTGGCTTGATAACTGTAGGGAGTTGGTGAAGATTATATTTTCTACTCCTAATCTAAAGTTCTTCACCTATATGGGAGAAGATCCCATACCCTTAGTGTACAAGGGTCCAGCTCTAAAATTGACAGACGCTTGCCTTCGCCTAAAATCAGTCCTTAAAAATGAGTATTGGTTTGTCAGTAATGGTGATGCTGTTCTCATTTAGTCCAGCAAATTTTCTGATTCTCCCACAAATTGGTTGCTATAAATAAATTCCAGGAAAATTTAGCCATTGAATGGAATTGAAAGTTCTATTGTACCAGTATTATGCTAAACCAAGATGTTAAAACTTACTAGTGTTTTGTTTTAAAGGGAAATTTTTGTTAGTAAGAAGTGATACAATATCTAAAGTATGCTGCCCCTAAAACTTTAGGATACTTTAAGTTTAATTGACATGAATGTGTACAGTTGGCCTTTAGCTTTACATTATTATTAAGCTCTGATTTTTGTTTATTGTTTAGCTTTTATTAGGCAAAGCTTTGGTGGTAGAAATTTTTGTGATTATTAGTATGTTACAGCTAGTATGTTAGATTACCTGAGATTATAAACCTATTGGGTTTATTTCATAAGTAGAATTTGAAACAATGAATGGAATATATTATCCCATCTTATTTTATTTAAATTACTAAATTGTGTATTACTCTAGGCAGAATTATGAACATTAAAGTTACCAATTGTACTTGTAATGTGCTACTGAGTATTATACATTTTGTTTATCAATAAGTGGTTGGCCTTGTTCTTTTAGATGTTGGTGTTGTTGCTACTTGTGATGCCACCACTCGCGCTGTTAATTGCTTGATACAAAAGTATATATTTTTATTTGCAAAAAAATCGTTAACCATTTTTAGCTCTGCTTTCACGAATCATTCTTCTTTACATTTAATTTCGCCCAGCTTTGTTCACAAATTCACATTTTTTTCCCAATTCATTTTTTTCAGGTGAAGGAAGGCGCTTGCGGTAGCGGTGGTGGTGGCTGATTGCTCGACTCTTGCATGTCACAAATTTCCTCGGATCTTTTAAGGTATACCTCAATTTGCTCGAATCTCTGGTGTCTTTGTGTTGAGGGTTTGTGTTAATTGAATTTTGTCTTTGTGTTTATGCCGGTGAATGGTTTGGTTTTCATTTTTTTGGGTTTATGTCAAATAATACACAAAGGAGTATATAATTTGGGTTTGAAATTTTCTGGGTTTCAATTCTTCTGGGTTCGAATTTTTGTTTATTTACCTCCATCTTAAAAGATTCAAACCTAGATTTCAATTCTTCTGGGTTTCAATACACAAAGGATAGTATTGTAATTCATTCACCTCCATCTTCTTAGCTTCCTACACTAAAATAATATTCGAATGTGACTACTAGACAACATAAATCTTTCTAACATATTAAAAGAGTCAAACCATCTTGAGAGGCTAGAGGTTTAGTACATGTTGATATTAAGAGCGAAAAATGACTTTACAATGGTCTATTATTGTTAGGTTCTAATTTGGTTGCAGAAAAAGAGAGAAATAAAAAGAGCGAAATAAAGCTATTCTTAGGCTGAATTGAAAATACAAAATCATGTCAACAGAGTTCAGCAACTCATCAATTGTAAATAGAGGAAGTTTCATTGTAAATGGTTGTATAGCCTTAGATTTAGTTTGCCTAGCTGTGGTGGGTATTGAGTGCTGGTTCTGTGTGCTGTTTTTGTTCTTTGCTATGGGCCTGTCCTGCTCTGGTGCTACCTGTCCTGCTATTTTGGCGATCTGTTTCTCTGGTGCTATTTCAGTGATGTGTGCTACTGTGTTGTGGTTCTGTGTGTGGTTGTGTGGTGTTGTAGCTGGTTTGCCGAGGTGCTGGGTTGTGGAGGCCTGCCTGCAGGTTGTTTTTTGTGTTGTAGATGGTTTCTATGTTCTGTTCAGGCAGGTTCTGTGTGTGGCTGTGTGGTGTTGTAGCTGGCTTGCTGAGGTGTTGGGTTGTGGAGGTCTGTCTGAAGGGTGTTTTATGTGCTGTAGTTGGTTTCTGAGTTCTGTTTAGGCTGGTTCTGCTTGTGTTTTGCCTCCTTGTTTTGCCGGGTGTTGCTGTTTCTATCAGAGCTTGCTGGGTGTTGTTGTTCTGTCAGGGCTTGTTGGGAACTGTTGTGTCTCGCTGCTGTGTTTGTCGTTTTTGTGCTGAATTGTAGGTGTTTATGTTAAGAGGCTTGTTTTTAGTCTTTGGTGTATGTCTCACTGTAATTGGTTTTATTCTTTTAAGTTGTATTTTGCTTAGTTTGGTGTAGGCTAGGGTGTTCGTCTGTTTTTTTTTTGTGGTTTTGTTTTTGGCCGTTTTGGCTCTTGTAGTTCGGGTGAGGGCTTGCCCTCTTTCTTTTTTGGTAATAAAAGCTACTTATTTACCAAAAAAAATAAAAAAGAAAATACAAAATCATAGGGCATCAAAATGAAAATGTAAAAAGAAATGAAACTCGAGTTTATTAGTGAGTAAAATTGTCTTTTTCTTTTGTCCTTTTAAAGGTGCAACTGTAAGTACATATTTTTAAGTTGAATATGATATTTTCAGTTGCTTGAATATGTTGACCGTAAGGTTTGGAAAGGCGATTGAACTGGGCAACTGGCTAATCAAACCCAATCCTGTAGCTCTTGTAGAATAAAAACTTTGCATTTTCTAAAATGATGGTATACCCTTCATGAACTGTGCTTAGAATGTTTTATTGATTTGGTAGCGTAAGTAGAGGATACTTATCTGTTGGTTGTCCTGTTTTTACTAACCTGTTACCTCGAGAACAATGGACTTTCAGGGTTTCATCCTTTCATCTCATACATCCTATGGGAAAATTAATATCAATGTTGAAAGTTTAAAACTGTCATGAGTTGCTGCTGGTCTTGGCAGAAATGGTTTTAATTGTTTTGGTTAGCTTATTCGGCTGTTTTAACTATTTGTTTGTGTTTTACGGCTTCTGTTGCTGTCTTTTTAGCTTTCTTTGTTCCATTCTATAGCAGGTGTACCTAATAGAATTACATATTACAACTCAAAAATTAGTGTGGCTTCAAAGTATGAATTCTAGCCTCTCTGCTGTTTATAGGAACTATCCTTTTTCTCACTTAATTTCAACATGCTAGTTTCCACCATGCTCGCTATTTTACAAAAAAAATGGCATCCCCCCTCTTTCTCTGTTCACATTTGCATTGATACGTCAGTAGTGAAGGTTACTTGATGTGTTTGTCTGAAATACGAACTGAAATAGAATGATATGTTTGTCATTCTTTTAATTTAACTTTTTTTTTCGTTTTAGTTTTTGTGACTTAGATAAAAATAACTCTCTGAATTCGAACCCGAAAGAATGGATGGTGAAACTAAGAATTGGTGGATGTTTTCCAAATGGAGTGATGAATATGAACGGGGAGTAGACGAATATGTCAAAAAGGCTTTTGCTACTAAGTCTCAAGGAAATTAAATATGTTGTTCTTGTTCACTTTGTCATTATCGTTTTTGGTGTAATGAAGGTGTTGTGAGATATCACCTAATTTGTAATGGTTTTGTTCCAAGAACGGATAAGTTATCAGATTTAGGGATCAATATCCAAAGAGAAGAAACTATTTTGGATAAGGATGAGGGGTCAAACCCAAATGAGTCTGACGATGACATAGTAGGGTTGTTGCATGATGCACGTGATGCTTTTAGAGAGGGGCCAAATGATGAAGCAAAAATTTTTTGAGGTTAGTTGAAGAAGGCCAGGAAGAATTGTATCTTGGTTCCAAAAATCATTTAAAACTTTCCTTTATGATTCGCCTTTTTATTTTGAAGTGTGATCATAAGCTAACCACTGCTGCATTTGGAGATGTATTGGAGCTTATAAGGGAGGTGTTGCCTGATGAAAAGTTGCCTACTTCTTTTAATGAAGCGAAAAGTGTTTTGAAAGTGTTGGGGTTGGATTATACAAAGATCGATGCATGTCCAAATGATTGCATGATATATTGGGAAGAGCATGAAAATGCAACAAGCTGCCATGCTTGTAAAACGCCAAGATGGAAATCAAAGGACAAGGAGAATGAGATACAAAATGATAATGGAAAGACCTATAGGATTCCTCAAAAGACCTATATGTGTCAAGAGACGGCGAGATACATGACTTGGCATGCCGATGGGCGTGAAAGTGATCATATTTTACATCCAGCTGACGGTCAAGCTTTGAAGGAATTTGATTCCTTATATAAAGAGTTTGCTGATGATCCGCGCAATGTGAGGCTAGGGTTAGCCACAGATGGCTTTAGCCCGTTCAACTCAATGAGCATTGTGCATAGTACCTGGCCAGTTATGTTAATCAATTATAACTTGCCTCCTTGGATGATTATGAAGCCTGAGTTTTTTATGTTAGCATTACTAATTCCGGGTCCTTCTTCCCCAAGCAATGACATTGACATATATTTGCAGCCACTAATGAAGGAGTTGAAGGATTTGTGGGAGTTTAGATTGGAAACTTATGATGCTTCCAGTAATCATAGGTTTGACATGCATGTAGCATTGATGACTACTGTGAGTGATTTTCCCACTTACGCAATGTTATCTGGGTGGAGCACAAAAGGATACTTAGCATGCCTTGAGTGTCATTATGAAACAAAATTTGATTGGTTGCCTTATAGTGGTAAGAATGTGTACAGGGCAAATCGTAAATTTTAGGATCCATTTCACCCTTGGCGTCGTGATAAGAGGAATTTTGATGGGAAACTTGAGGAAAGACAGCAACCTACTCGATTGACTGGAATTGATATTGAGAATATGTTGCGGGATTTTCCAAATGAATTTGGAAAGAAGAAAAAGAAACCAAGGCGTGCTAAGGATGATCCGAATCCGTGGAGAAAGATACCCATTTTTTTTTTAGTTACCATATTGGAAGCATTATCTTAATCGTCATAATCTTGATGTAATGCATATTGAGAAAAATGTGTTTGATAGTGTCATTAGGACATTATTAGACATTTCTCAAAAGACCAAGGATCATGCGAGTGCTCGTTGAGATTTGGTAGAGCTTAATTTGATGCCAGAACTTCAACCAATAGAATTGGAAGATGGTGCGGAGGAATTTCCAAGATCTCGCTTTTGGATGTCATTGGAGCAAAAACGCAAATTCTGCCAGGTCTTTAAAAATGTCAAGCTTCCTCAAGGCTATGCTTCTAACATTGGTCGATGTGTGGAAGTTGGAGAAAGGAAAATTGCAGGCTACAAAAGCCATGATGCTCATTTTATGATGAATTATTTGCTCCCAATTGCAGTGAAGACAACATTACCCAAAGATGTTGCTACTCCTTTGATAAGACTTTGTGCTTTTTTTAAAAGTATATGGAGTAAAGCTGTTTTTCCTCAACATCTTGGAAAAATGCAATCTGAGATAGTTGAAACTTTATGCTTACTTAAGAGGATTTTTCCACCTGCCTTTTTTTATATTATGGTACATTTACCTATACACTTGGTGGGCCAAATTAAGTTGGGTGGGCCTGTAAGTTCAAGGTGTATGTATGGAATTGAGAGGTATCTTCATGGACTGAAGCAAGATGTTCAAAATAAAGCTCATCCAGAAGGCTCAATGGTAGAAGGATATCAAGCCAAAGAATGTATTGCCTTTGTAGCTAGATTTTTGAAACGATCAAGCACGCCCATACCTAAGGTTAATGGTTGTAGTACATCACAATCATTTTTTCCTAAGGTAGGACGTCCAATAAAAGGGAAAGGAAGGACCTCAAAGAAAAAAAAAACGTGAACACATAATTGATCGCATTAGATGGGCACAAGCGCATCGTTATGTCTTGTTCAATTGTGATTGTGAGGAAGTTGAGAAATATATCAGGTTAATTAGGTTACCAACCAAAATGTAGTTTTTTCTTTCTTTTTCTCTTGGTTATTAATGTGTTTTATTTGTAGTGATAATAATATAATCTTTTTATATTTCATAGTGAGCACAAGATATGTGTAAGCGCTAGAAGAAAAAGGAAATGGAATAGTGCTCAAGATCACAGCAAGGATTTTGTGGATTGGTTTAGGGATAAAGTTGATTTCATTCTTAAAGAGGGTCAAGACATCATCCCTAAACATATCTTATGGTTATCAAAAGGGCCTTCTCACATTGCTAAAAGTACACAGGGTACTCAGTCAATGGTTATAGGTTCCATACCATGAAGCGCGATGCAAACTGTGTCACTCAGAATAGTGGAGTCACTCTAACAGCCATGACACATAGCTTTGCGAGTTCCAAAGATCAGAATCATGTTGAGGGAAATGTTAATTATTATGGTTCAATAATAGAAATCATTTAAATATCTTACCATGGCTACTTTTGTGTTGTCTTATTTAAGTGTGTTTGGTTTCACTCGGAAATGGATGATGATGAGCTTGTTATGATTAATATGTGTAAGACCATTTCCAAAGAAGAACCATTTATATTGGCATCTCAAGCACATCATGTGTTTTATATTGAAAATCTTAATAGAGATGGTTGGCATTATGCTATTCAAATCCCTCTTAGAGAGCTTTCAGATGGTATTGACGCACAATTTTAAATAATTCACTACATTCTCAAAATAGCTTATTTTATATTGCAATACTTTTCATATTTTAATATCTTTTTTGGAAAATAAACGTGTTCTCATTTATTGTCTTTGCAGATGAAGGGGAATAAAACAAAAGTTTCTGCTTCCCAAAGTCAGGTTACAGATTATGAGTTATAAAGGATTCAAAGATTAAAGTTCAATGCAGAAAGAATGTCAGCCCAAGGATCGGGATCCTTAGCGAATAAGATACTTCAACAAAAGACAAAAGACCTACTTTCTCCAAGTGCAAGGCAGACAAAAGATGACTCCACGTTAGAGTATGATGGTGAAGAGGAGGGCGAAACTATGGAAGATGACAGTCTTGCGTCTGGAAAAAGAAAGGTAAGTAAACTTGTTCCCTTCCACCCCCCCTCCCTTGAGTTCCTCTCTATCAACACCAATATATGCGAGCTAATTGTGAGGCTGCAATTGTTGGTCTTTAGCCACTGATTTAGGGCCACATTATAGATTGAAGGCAAGTTGTGTTATGTACGGAATTTTTCTCCTTTTGTGTGTGTGTGTGTGGAGGGCCTATTCTGGTATATAATAGAGAATTTGTCTGAGCTTCTATCATTGACAGAGACGTGAGATTATATCCCTGCTTATAATAGAGCATTTGTCTGAGCTTCTATCACTGTTGGGTCTAAAGATTCTAAAAACCTCAGGCCTTCCAGTGTTGATCATTGTACACTTTTAATTAGTTTTAACATGTAACAAAAATAGTTCTTTAAAAACATCACATAAAAGTACTAAATCTTAACTAGCAACTACATACTATCATAATATAGTCATAAATGTAAACAACAAAAAGTTCTATATGGATGCATAAAATGCATTGTGGTAACAAAGTCTGTGACATTAATAAAAAGCATATATTTGGTAATCTTGCTTTAATTTATAGCACTTATGCTTTCATGTGACAACATAGTACTACAATTTGCAGGTATATGTAACAAATAAAATTGTGTTACACTAGTTTATATAAGATAAAAATTAAATAAGATTAGTTTTCACCTCAAGAATCCTGCTATACTCTTGTATGAGATAATCAACATGAGCAGGGAGTGTGAACTGGGTAGATCTGACTGAGAAAGGCACCAAGTAGTAGTTGTTAACGAAATCATTGCCACCAAGGGTGATCAGCACCAGAGCTCGGTTTACTAGTTGTTGAGCTCTGGCTTCTCCGATTAAGGCACTCACTCTTTGTTGGTACTGACAGAAATAATCTAGCTGCCTGTAGATTCTGATTATGTTCAGCTGAAAAAATTGCAGTATCAGTTATTTTTTTGGAGTACTTCAGTAATTGTCTAACAAGAAAATCTATGAGACTTTTTCGTTACATATCACAGCAAGTATTTTTTTTAACTAGTAAAAATGCTACATTATGAGCCAGTTTTAATTCAGGATTACTATCATTATTGAAGTATGCTATGTAATTACTTTTTGGCTTATGTTTTTAGGTCTCAAAGAAACTACATTTAATTTGCACACGTAAAACGGCTATTGTGAAGATGAATAGCCAGAAAAGGCAGCATGTTGATGACTTTTGCGACAATAACTCTGTTGATTTGGCCAAGCAAGTTCAGGATCATGGCATCCAAAGGAAGCATCAACAACAGCAAGTTGGGTCAAAAAGTAAAGGCAAAAAAAGAGCATTCTGTTCTCCTGGTTCAATGTCAGCATACCTTGAGTTTCGGAAACGGCAAAAAGAAAACAATGAAGTGCTTGATGAAAGTAATCGTTCTTTGCATAATTCCATGACAGCGCGAATACGATATGACAATGATGCATTGAATGCGAATAACGATAATGATGCCATATATGAGAATGATGATGATGATGGGCTGAATGAGAATGATGATGATGATGGGCTGAATGAGAATGCTAATGCTATTGATATTGATCGTGAAGGTGATCAAGAATTTGACCAACAAGATGTAGCACAGTACGGAATGGAAGGTATGGTTTTCAATATCTGTCATTTTTGCTGAAATTTATACACAACTTCAATACTCATACTGTATTCAATACAGTAGCTGTTTTAGAAAAAAAAAAATACTATGTAAAATAAAATTTTGGGTTTTGGCTTGTTTTTTTTTAATTAATACAAATAAATTGACTGTAAAGTTCTGATAAGTTAAAGTGGCTGTAAAGTTCGAATTTTATACTCCAAATGAGTTAGTAAGGCTGAAAAGTAGCAGAAACAATCATAAAATCTTACAGTAGGATTGAATAGATAATAGTGCCAGTGACTTCTGATTTCATATTACTAATCTAGTTTTTCCTATATTTTTGCAAACGGTTTTTCATGTATTATTGCATATAGAAACAGAAAATGAATTATCTTCTAAAAGGAAAAATCATCGAGGTCCAACAATGCTACGTAAGGTTCATGTGCGTACAACAGAAGAGTGTCAAGTGATTGTTTTGAACTCATTGGGTCAGCCAGTTGGACCTACAAAGGAGATTGTCCAGGAGTTCAAGTTTTTTTTGGGAACTGTGGCAAGGGATTCCGAACTAGCTCCGCTTAACTATTTTAACTTCCCAAGCCTACCCACACTTGACAATATATGGAATTACGTCCAAGTATGTAGTGATATTATCTTTTTGCATTACGTTATTCTACTTTCCTCATACTTAGACCTCCACACGTTACTAATGTATTAACGTAAGAATTTGTGCAGGAAAAGTATATGGTTCCTGATGGTGGAATAAGTTGGGTGATGGATGCTGTGAACAACTGTTGGAGGTATCATAAATGCCAGATCAAGAAAAAACACTTCTATGCATATGATAACGACGCTTTAAGGTGGAAAAATAAGCCTAATACAATTTCAAATCTTCAGTTTAGAGATCTTTTGCTATATTGGAATACCGATGAGGCTAAGGTATTGTATAAATGGATTTTAATCTATTATATTTTAATCACATATATATATTTAATTGAATTATTGTTGGATTGTAATATTTTATAGAAAATCAGTCACAACAACAAAGACAATCGTCTAATGTTAGATGATATGCACACTTTGGGTCGTAAGTCATTTTCCATTTTACGCCATGAATTGGTAAATACTTTTATCTAATTATAGACAATTACATGATCAATTTCATATTCATCACTTGTCCTATATATATGAGGCTTTACCCTTTTTATTTAACATTTATAGCGGCAACAAGATCCGGATAAGCAAGAGCCTTCCCAAGCAAAGGTTTATAAGGAATCGAGAAAAAGAAGTTCTGGAAAGACATACAAAACTAGTTGTGAAAAAGCAAAGGATAACATTGTGAGTTAGCATCTTAAATATAATTTGAATTTGTGTGTATTTTATTCGATAATTGCTAATAAATTACTGTATTTACCTAATTGGCCAAAATGGATGCTCTGGAGTCTTCCGAATATGAAGATGTTAATAACTGCAACGACCCTTACTACGAAGTGATTCCTACTGCTAAACGCAAAAGTCGTGTGCATTTGTATGGATCGGGTGTGAAAAAGACAGATTTGAAGAAGAAAGCGAATAAGCCCGATTTCATATTCCCAGAGGAATTCATATCAAGTGTTACCACTGCAGTTTTGGCTCAAATTCGCGAGGCTAACCCTACGATTAATATTGTGATTCCTGATGTTCTGCTGCAATCGACTCCGAATGATGCATTCAGTGCACCAAATCGAATTGGTAACCATAGTGGCCAATCTTCCAAATCAGCTGCAGCATGTAATCAGGTACAACTAATATTTTCTCCTGCTTTTGTGTGTGCTAATATATGAGGGTAGACTGGGTTACTTTTAATTGGGATGACAAGCCAATCAGATAACTAGTATATTGCTGTTGCTCTAGGATCATTTAATCTGGTCATCTGATGTGTTTATCATATGATATGATCACACCAAATTAGTCAAAATGACATTAGTTGTTGAATTGTTCCAATATCATCTATTCATGTAGGAATTAATATAAATAGTTGTCAAGAAACCAACAAGCATAAACTAAACATTGTCAAGGATCCCAAGCCCTGGAAAATTCAAGACAAAAACACTTGTGGCAGAATTTAGTGTTACAATTCTTATTGGACCTCGTCACAAATACTAAGAAAACTAAGCAAACTACGCTATAATCTTGCTGGGTGATATTAACTTGTCTAAGTAGGATAACAGGTCAAAACAGTCTTAATGAAAATTGAAAACAGCCTAAACAACAAATCAGTGAAGTGGAAGCACAACAATAAATAAAATAACAGATTAATCACACAATTAAGACTATAAGAGAGTGTATCTCTCTCATAGAGTCATTGGTAAAGAAATAACCTTTTTGCAACACTAACAAACTACAGCAGATGGTTGACAACGAAAACAGGCAAGAACCAAAATTAGTATAAACACCACATTATCCATGTTAATAAAATGGAGATGCATATTACAAACGCGTAAATGTTTAATGGAAAACTAAGGGTTCCACTAAGAAATAGTAAAGATGAAGTAAGAATTCATATGACAGAGGAGAAACACTAAGAAATAGTCACAAAAAAAAATATAGGTAGAGAAGAATTTAGGAGTTATTTTTGTAAGATGGGTAAGTATAGATTCAGATTATCTGATATGATGCCGAATGCTTGGTTCTACAAGCTTAAGGACATGGGGAAGGGAAGATCAACAAAGTCGAATTCTCGAGCTTCGAAGAGTATGAAGAAATCCTCTGTTTCAGACACTCAAACTAGTGTAATCACAAAATTTGGGCACCCAAATAGCTCTTATGCATACTATCCTACCTCTGCAGGTACTGTAGAACCCCTGATCAGGTTTACTGATCCCATGTATAGTTCACCCATGAACTATAGTCGAGTCTCCGATGCTCGTTCTGCTACAAGTTCGTGCAGAAAGTTGTCTAATGCATTATTTTAAGTTGCTCGCTGCTATTGCCTTTATTTTCCCCTCCCCTGTGTGCTGCCATAATGTCTTTTCCCCCCTTGCTAGATGTTGCTGCCTTTCCCCCTTCGCTGCTTGCTACCCAACTGTCTTCCCCTTGCTTCTGCTGTTTTTGCCTACTTGTGCTGCTGCTGCTTGCTTGTGCTTCTATATCACATGATATTTTAATTTTACAATCATTAGTCTCAATAGAACTCAACATAGAGTGCCACCCAATATATATTAATTTCTTTTATTTTTACATGTAGGTGCATGGCGAGCTAGATGGAGATGAATGAAGTACAATGATTATATATTGTCATCCAACAAATGGAGCGTACACGTCGGTGACTAATTTTATTTAGTTCGAGCTTGTGAAGATTAGGATTTGTATTTTTTACGATTTTTAATTAGTAAATTTTTATTATTTATTATTAGTTAGTATTGGTAGTGTAACATATATATGGAAACAATATTTTGTAATGTAACGTACATATTATATATACTTCGTTTATTGTTATAAATATATTGATATATTTTATATTTATTGTTACCTTTTAAATTTAAACTAACTAACAATATATATATATATGTATTCCCTCAAAAAAATATAATACGTAGTATATTTCATGTAAAACCGTTGCATTAGGTGAAAATATACCGTTGTATTAGGTGACATATACCGTTGTATTATGTGACATATACCGTTGTATTAGGTGACATACACAATTGTAGTAGGTGGAAAATACCGTTGCATTAGCCTTGCCATTGGATTAGGTCTATAGATCATGATTTTGTTGCATATTCATCTAATACAACGGCAGCCAAAATGTCGTTGGATTAGGTATCAAGCTAATACAACGGAAGTACCTAATCCAACGGCATATTGGCAGCCATTGTATTAGATGCAATAAGCCGTTGTATTAGGCCTAATACAACGCCAGCTGATGTAACGGTATACAAGCGTTGGATTAGGTCTAATACAACGGTTTTTAACACCTAATACAACGAAATTTGCCGTTGGATTAGATCAAATATGTATTAGTGTTCTTTTTTAAAAACTACTACTTCAAGTAGCGGTTTTTCACTGTAACGGTAAAAAAATTCGATTTTCTCTTACTTGCTTACGTGGACGTTAATGTGAGAATTAAAGAAAAAGAAGCTGTATTTAGGGAATTTGAGCTTTTCCTAATATTATTTTGGGAAAGAGTTTAATTAACCTAATCTGATTATATTATTAGGGGTTTTGGAAAATAAAAACACACAATATTCAGTTTTCACAAAACTAACGTAATATTTTCCTCTCCATATTCTTTATCTATAAACTGGTTTTCAACTCCAAGAAACTGGAAGGTTCTCTCGTCCAACTAGCATTGGTGGAGCATTGATTCAAGGCGATGGAACGAATAGAGGAGTCGCACTTGAGGCTCTTTATGTTCAATAGAGAAGAAACCTACAGAGAGGAATTCACACATCAAAGGATAATTCTAAACTATTATGTGATCCTGACCCTTTAATTATATATGCATGAGATCCTGTTTAGGTACCTATGAATATGATTCATGAAATTTCGCTTAGGGTACCTAAACACCTACATATGCATAGTTGTTAACTATATTTGCCATCTTAACTAGCAATTATTTATGCTCTATTCATCCACATAAATGTATTTAAATGTAGAATAAAAAAAAAAAAACACATCCAAACTATATACGAAAAAAATTCATATTTCTTTTATATGCTCTTCGATATTCGACATTGAATTCCAAATTATTAATACTAAAAAAATTCAAACAATTTCACAAAAAATATGGGAAATTCTCAATGGTGCTATTAAGTTTTTTATTTTCTCAACGATAAACAACAAAAAATCAAAAAATCTCACTAACTTAGTGGTGCAATTAATGAGATTAATCTACAATTATAAGCCTAACTATAATTAACTAAAGACAAATTGACTAATATATCCTTGAAAAATTAGATTTTCCTTTATTTTTTTAACAATTAAATTATTTAAAAAAAATTAAAAAAAAAACCACCATCCACTCTTTCCCCACCCCGACCAACCAACCCCCAACCACCACCCACGCCCAGCCGCCGTCCCCTCTTCCCCGATTTCCTCCCTTCCCCTATTACCTCCCTTTCCCGATTTCCTCCCCCTTCCTTGATTCCCTCTCCTCCCCTTCCACGTTGCCCGATTCCTTCTTCTTCCCCCCACCACACTCATTCGAGGAGAGAGAAGCCGCCGAAGTATAACCCTTCTGTTGGGAATTCGCCGGAGTTTTATGTGGGTTATTTAATATGGGCGGAGAAGCTTCCAAAAATTTCTCGAAGATTGAAGAGTTCTCGGGAGCAAACAAACCCTAGGTTTTGCGGGACGAGTTCGGAGAGTGAGTTGCCGAGGGACTAAGTTAGTTGGATGATTTGAGGAGAGAAAAGAGTGATAATGGGGGCTTTGAATTGAGTGGTGAAAATAGTTTGAATGATAGGAGAGAGGAGAATGATAACAGTAATGTTCTGGTGGGAGGAGGTTAGTGGTTTAGGGGGAGGGCGAAGTCAGTGCGGCGCCGCCGGCAACTAAGGATGTGGGGTCTGAGCGCGGTCGGCACCGTGAGGCAGAGAGGTGGTTGGGATGGAGGGGGAAGGGGGAAGGGGTGGCGGGTTTTTTACAAAAAATATTTTTAAAATAATTATTACAAAAAAAAAAACTAACCATGGTTAAACTAATTAACTAATGTCACCATTGAATTAAACAGTAATAGTTGATTACGAAAGATAATTGAAAATTTTGCTGTTTACTAAAGAGAATATTAAAAAACTTGTGAGCACCATTGAGAATTCAAAATAACATCTCGAAATAACGTCCAGGTCACACACTAATTACCTAGTTAATTAAGTCCAATAGTATTTCCTCTAAACTTCAATCTCTTTCTGAAATAAACCGAAAAAAAAAAGAAATACTCGTCTAGTCGTTTGTGATGAACAAGTGTGTGCTTGTGGTTTAATAGTGGCTAATTTTGGTGTGAAGAAATTAATGGTACATTATTTGGCGTCGTCACCTCTTTTTTGAGTCAATGCGGTCGGTTTACTCATCATCAACAACAAAACCCTTGAACAATTAAACCCACCGCTTTCTCCTTCGTGTTTCTGTTTTCACTATTTTTTATTGTTGATTTTCAATTCTTCTTCCTGCCTTCATTCTATTAAGCGACGTCATTTTACTACTTCAGGTATCTCAAATTCTCAATGCTTTGATTTTACAGGTTTTTGTTTTGTCCATTGTTTGAAATTTGTTGAAAAATGCATTTTTATGATAGTGGGTATTTTTTGCTTGATGGTTTGATTTAATGGGTTCAATTATTGATTTATGATGATTCTGTAATGTGGGGTTAAGCTGAATGCTGATCATATATAATTCATACCCACTTTGTCAAATTGGGTATTGAGTTTATGATTGTTGTTAATTGTTATTGCTATTCATTTAGTCTTCTGTACTCGCTTGATTGTTCGAAACCCGAAATTGATGAATGAATGATAATAGTTTAAAAGTATTGTGCTTATATTGATGAGTATACAGCAGCTGGCCGAGCTAATTGGCTTAAGTACTGCCAATTTAGTATGTTTATTCAGTTGCTAAATTGAAATCTGGGGCAATTTTTTTTTGTTTTTGATCAATTTGTTGGTGAGATGTTCAAGCGGTAAAAAAAATGAAAATTTTGGACTTTCCACTATTTTATAATCTCCCATTTTCTCCTTTAATCTGGCCTTACAGAGAAGATGTTTTCTAGAGGATGTTCCCGGGTTTCAAGGACTGGGATGAATCCATTCCGGTGGCGTTATCCTTGTGTAACTGTTTCTAGTCCAGCTGTTGCTGCATACCATAGATTGCTCTCCTACTCTAATCCCACAATTACTCCTCCGATGTTCAAGGTATGATATGGGTATCCTTAATTACTGTAGGCTCTATCATTTTCGTAAATTTTATATTACAGGCATTATAGTTTACATTGTGTATCTAATAACTTTGTATTGTATTCCTTATGCAGTATGCTTGGGGATCTACAGAACATACACTTTGCGGTTTTCGTTATGATGCAAGACATCATATTCATAATAGTGCAACGTCCACAGTTGAGGTTAGGTGTGACTTTTGCAGATCCAGTATCCAACTAGGCTTTGTATATATTACTCGTGCTATTATGTGTTGTTTAGGAGTGAGTTAAGTTGGTCTCTTTGTGGGATGGGATAAAACAGAATCTTAAATCTACTTTTGTAGTGAGGAATCTGGTGATGCTCTAAAGATGCTTTTGTAAATATTTATACAAGAGCTTGGAAAATTATCTAGTAAGGGATCACATTGAGAATCATGAATGATATTAGCCACTCCTGGAACAAAAAGGAGTTATTAATTTTCAACTATTTATATTATGGACTAGTTAGAAGGCAAAGCCACTACTGATTGGTTGTGAAGCAGATTGAATTTTTTATTTATATATTTATGAACATAGAGAAACACTCTGTCGATTGGATTGCTCCACAATAATGACATTCAGATTTCTTTCAACCAAACTGATAGATAGGAACAAGTGGAGAGCCACCGTCTTAGAATTTTTGTGGATTGCTAATTTCGGGGAACTGAATACTTGGAATGCTATTGTTCCAAGGAAAAACGTTGTAATTTTCTTGTTTTGGGGAACTTAATACTCAGGTTGATTTGCAAGTGTAGTGACTACAAAAGGTGTATTTTTTTCTCATGCATGTGTCTAGTGATTGTTACTATGGAAATTATTAGCCACTTGTTGGCATTGTATATGTGATTTACTTAGTATAGAGTGGGGATGGTTTGAGCTGTCTTCTAAACTACATTGAGAGATGAGCACAAAAATATAGTGAATAGACTCAAAGAAAATAGAGAGATGAACATTTCTAAAGAAAGTAGAATTTGGTGATGAACAGATACACATGTATTTTATTTGGGGCTTCTCAAATACAATCATCCACATTCAAGAGGTGATTCTCTCCCTAACTTTCTCTTTCTCTGCTTATCTGAATACCCTTCACACAGGTACACAAGCCTCTTTCTGTATGCAACTCCTCTGCTTTGCCAGAATACACCTCTATTGATCTCACCTCTAATAAACTTCATTATGAATACCGAATACCCATAAAGCCCCTAGCAGCATTCTGTAGCTAACTTCCTTGAGTAATTCCCAAGCTACTCTTCTTTTTTTTCAAGTATACGTCAACAAGGGATGGAAATTGGGTTGATTGTTAACAGAATATGCTCATCAAAAGACACTCTTCTGTTTCCTGAGTTTTCTCCAGGACATTCTGCTGCCTGATTTTTGTAAAAAAATTTCTTATTTTTGGATGATCACATCTTGGTAGAATGAAGGATACTAGATGTTTGTCTGGATCCAAGTTTTTATATTGCCTATGGTCAACGTTATATGCAACTTGATTAATTGATTCGAAATTTCCATGTAAGAGAGTTCCATAGAGCTTCTCTATGCTTGTATTGTATTTCATGGAGCTGTAATTGCTAATAGAATACATATTAAGGTATATGTTAGTTTGCTAATTGATGTAGATGATAGGCATGCATGTAAATGTTTCTGTTGTCAGGAGATGAAGGGTTTAACAAAAATCTATTTTAAAGTTACAACTCTAGTTGTTCATAATGGATGTTTAGATTCATGTCGTTTTGGTCAGTTGGCCTTATTCTTATGCAGAGGCATTGAATTCTAATCATGCTTCTGTTGTCTCTGTGATTGTATATTTGTGCTAAAAGCTGTCAATTTACTTTTGCAGGATCAGTCGGATCCATTTTCCCTTGTTGCTGATGAGTTATCAATCCTAGCTGATAGATTACGGTCAATGGTGGTCGCAGAGGTGCAACAGTTGTCTTATGTACTGCTAGTACTGTTTGAATGGAATGGGCTGCTGAAAATTAGACATTGTATGATGTTCATGTTATTGCTTCTTGCAGGTCCCTAAGTTGGCATCTGCTGCTGAATATTTCTTCAAAATGGGAGTAGAAGGAAAGCGGTTTCGCCCCACAGTAAGTGTTGCATATATTGTTTGCCGTGAAACATGAAGTAACATAAACATGTAACAATTTGAAATAACTCTTTTTCTTTAATATCTGTATATCTGTAAAGTCAGTCCGGTGTATTGATAGCATCATTATTGACAGCATGCTATCTTCAATGCTGACATGGCTTATTTATCTGTATCGTACAATTTTTGTTCTTTGTGACTTTTTCTATTATAGAGTTGTAGAAGTTAGGTGTAACCCTGATGTAAAGGGTCTCTTAATATATATTTATATTACCTATAAAATATTCAGGCTTACTGGATGAGACAGGTGACTGGTCTTAGACCTTTATGCTTGCTTTTGGGTGTTCTGAAACAGGTTGTATGAATTAGGATATAATTATCCTGCTGCACGTATTGTAGAGTTTAAATAGTCGGTCTAGCATTCTAGCTTAGTTTTTCATTTGACTTGCTGCTCTTAAATTCTTAGCTTGCCTTTCTTAATAATTGAATTGTTGCTTTGCAGGTTTTATTATTGATGGCAACAGCGTTGAACATGCCTGTATCAGTGTCTTCTGCTGATAGACTATCACCCGCCAGCGTAGTTGATAATTTGGAAACACAACTTCGTCGAAGACAACAGTGCATTGCTGAGATCACAGAGATGATCCATGTCAGTATATAATTACTTATTTCCTTTGTTCTCCTTGATATTCTCCTTTGTGTTTTTGTTAATTGTTGTTCAAATTTGTTATTTTGCCAACGTTTATGCTATCTGATGCACTGGTTTGTGGCGTCAGGTAAATTGTATTTACTAGTTCTTGACTCCTGCCTAAAGTTTAGAGGTCTGTGAAGCGTGGTGTATGTAGTTCACACTTCACAGTACTTATGGGGCAACAATGTAATGAGAATTGTGAACAATGGAAAGCTTTAGGGTTGTCTAGATCTAAGGGGTAGAAATTGGTAATGATATAACCTTACACTTAGGCCAGCTTTTGGGTTAGGTGCTGAGAAATGGTACTTTGGTGGGGGCTGAGTCAACAAAAGGATGTACCTCCTTGCTGCACTATCGAGTAATTGATTGCTGTCTTGTTTCCCTAATTTTCTTTATTCTTTTGTATGTGGAAAGTGAATGTAAATATTTATGTTATTGAAATTTAATGTTGGCCACCCATTTTGTGAATTGATGTTTGAGATTGGGCTTATGGTTCTTATCAGATTCCATCTATGGTTGAGATAGTTATTGGTTATTAAAGTATTTAAGCGAATAAAGCTTGGGAGTTAGTTCACAGTCTATTTTCCTGTGTTTCAGAAGATTTTAGTATCCTGAAATTTATTATGGTGCTGTTAACTTTTGGCTTAAACCAGTCTTCAAGCTGGATTCCTTTTGTACTCAAGGGTGCTCCTTGGTTTATTTTCAGCTTAGTCTCTACAATAATAATAAGAATAAAAAAAAAGGTGGGCTTTACTCCTTTGTTTTCAGTAATCATGCGGAACTAAGGCCATCAAGATTTATTATGATTTAATCGTTAATTACCAAATGCTGTATCTGCTATCTGAAGGCATCCTCTTAATTCTTACCTTTCAGTTAGAGCTTCAGGAAATATTGGTTGAATTGTGTATCATCTTTTGGTCTTGAGTTCTTAATTGATACTCTTGTGTTGTGTTAGGTGGCAAGTCTTCTCCATGATGATGTATTGGATGATGCTGATACTAGACGGGGTGTTAGTTCATTGAACTCAGTGATGGGGAATAAGGTAATGTTTTCAGCTTCTTGTGCTGCATGTCAAAGTTGGCAGATTGTGGCTGTTGCAGTATGGCATTATATGCCACTTTAATTACTTGTATTATAAATTAAAAAATGCAGTTGCTCTGTACTGTTTGCTAAACTGTAGTATTCAGAAAGTATTGGACACTTTTTGTTGTGATCTTCTTCTTCATTTTCTTTTCTTTTTTGTTTTATGGCTCCAACATTTCATTGCATTTTTAGAAAAGGTATACATCTATATGTTTAATATACCATTACTGTTCTGCTCTTCCATATCCTCCAAGTGTCCAACCCCTGATTTAACTGTGGAGCTCAATATTGCTGTACAACCAATAAAAATCTGACAGGGCAATAATTGTGTGGATCTGGATAGGAAAATGCTGTGGGACAGCAATTAGTGGAAGGGGATTTGTGTAGTTTTCGGTGGAGATAGATGCTTGGGTTAAGGTCGAAATGTAGCTTTACTGCCTCCACTTTGCTCTCTAAAAAAATAAATTACCAAGATCACAGTCAAGGCGTAAAGGATGTAAGTCACCAATGATGCATAATGAGCGAATTGCAGACAAGGTAGGACAATGTATAGAAGACTCTGAATTTACTATCTAGAAAGAGAATTGATTCAGAAATCACTGAATAACCAGTTTTATAAGGCTAGCTTTCTCTAATGAATCCTCGTGAGGAATATAAATTTGTTAAAGCTAGTATATTCAGCATTTCACTCTCCTTTGAAAATCCTAGTTGTCGTATAAGATCTGAAAAGTTCCATACAAACCTTTTAGTGGAAACAACTAACTTCACAGAGGATACAATAAAATCTTCTCAGAAAAGAGAATCAAATTGAATTGACTGACTAAGCATTTGGAACAAGCTGAAGTAGGAGTCCCAAAAAATGTGCAGAGTAACATAACTGGCTTTTCTTGACATAATGCTTTGAATATTTTCTTGTCTCTTAATTTTGGTTTAGCTAATTTAAATTGTTAGAATACTTTCGGATATTGTTTCGATTAGCTTCTGGATATGTTCTTGCATCACATAGCTCGCGGTACTGTAATAGCCAAGGTTACAAGGTACGCGGTACGAAGGCCCGAGTTGTGACCTTGTTCGGTTGTCTGATTGTTTTGTTGATGCTTCAAGCTTTTAAAGTTTTGACAATGGTGATGGGTTAAGTTACAGATAATTAGAGGAAAGAGGAGAGAGAAATGAAAGTATTTAATAAAAGAATTATCTATATAATGCTGTAAAGTCTTGGACTTGGACCCCACACTCCACTGTCTATCTTGTTTTTCTTTTTAACATTTTATATAGGCTTCTCTATGTAAAAGTTGTACAGTAGATTCAAAGAATTGATTTATAATTCATTTTCTATATATTATTTTAACTTTAGTTATTATCAAGGAAAAAAAACAGGTTTTTCGTAAGGAAATCACACCCATTGTACTCATTTGTACCGGATTCACTTAAGGTAGTGTTTTGCGTATCTATTTTGGTACTGCGTTTTGAATCGAACCCTGTACTTTGTAACCTTGGTAATAGCTCATTACATAAATCTTTGGTCAAGTGTTATAATTACAAAAAGGTCCTAAAATGTCTAAAAGAACATTTTTTGATACATTTTAGAACTGTGTATTAATGATGCACATCATTACACGTAGGAATTTTCGTGAGGCCAACTTGATGGAGCTTGTCTTCTTACCTCCCACAAACTTTTGCCACCAACATGACCTTGTCTTTACTCTTAGATTTAGACCTCTAATCTGCTAACCACCAAAATTTTCCAATACATTATCATTTGCTGGCTTTGAAAGACAGAAAGTCCTTAGCCCATGAATGTTGGATTACCCATTGAGGGGAAGGCCAATTAAATTGAAGAATTTAAAAGGAAGCATACTGGCTGGTCAAAGTGGGCTGGCAGGGATTAAGGATGTTCTTGACCATCTCCAATTGTATCCGAACTATATCATTTGATGTATATGTTTAGAAATTTCCATTGTCATCATAAATTGCTTTAGAGAAGTCATGTACATCTAAGGGGTCATTTGGTTGGATCTTTTGAAATGGGTTGGAATGGAGTTAAAATTCATTTCATCCATTTTATTGTTTGGTTAGGCTTTTTAGGTATGGAACCTCATACCAAGATGGTTCTAACTCTACCCCAACCCCCTAGAATCCGATACCCACCCCACCCACTAAGATTCACATTTCATTCCATTAATGAAATGTAAAAACCTCCAACATGTAAACTAAACAACTTCAAACTACTATGGGATTTGAAATCCATTCCTCCCTAGCATTAGATTCTGTACCAATCTATTCCATTTTAATGAACCAAACAGCCCCTAAATGGAGTCTTCTTGTTTGATGTTCGCCTCATCCTTCTAATCGAAAAAAAAATAAAGGCTTCCACATTTTTTTGGTTCTTTTGCACCTTCCTAGTACTGAAAAATTAAACCGTTTCAAAAATTTTCTATTCCAATTCTCAACTCAACTTTAATTAGTATGATTAGGTTGGTGAAATTAGTTAAGCTACCTTTCTCATTCAAATTATCCCTCCTCACACCCTTGTTCCTCGAATCCCAACCATTGTAGTATTTGACCCCATTGAATAGAGTACTAGGCACTTTTGCTGGCCAACCGCAAGCTAACTGATGATAATTTGGAGCTTTGTCCAAGGATAATTCCAATTTCAAAGTAGTGGTATGTGAAAAATTGACATTTATGGGGGTCTTGTTCAAGGCTTGTGTTGTAGTTGTGGGGATAAAACATTTGAAACCGGGAGACATGAGTATATAGTTGGGTATAATTTGAAAATTTGTTTTTGTTTACTGTGTTTCTTTTTGCTCTCATATGATATGTGCATGACAACCATTTTCGGTAACATTGAGAGCATCACGTATTATTGAGGCTCAAATGCCCCCCCCCCCCCCCAAAAAAAAAATAAAAAATAACTCTCATCTTTCATGCGACCCTTTTTTTTAGTAGCAATCTCTTTCCCAATGTACCCCCCCCTCTCAAGTCCTTTATCTATTTTGCAACCCTTTCTTATTAGCAATCCCTTTCCTGATGTTTTATATAGGTTCAAAAGTGCCCCCCTCCATCCGATCGCTTTGATTGACAACCATCATCCATCCCGTGTCATCAATGGCAATTTTCTTAAATAATATCTTTCTTCTTTTCAGCCTTAATCCTTAAAAGTAGATCTTGATGGCATTGTTGTAATCACATATCACAATTTAGAAATTCACAACCTCCTAAATCCTCATCCTATGCCATTTTTGTTCTTCAAATTCTTACAACATAAAGCAACCACCATTCCTTCATCAGATCTTGTTTATGACATGAGACATCAAATAAGGGTAACAAGTCAAACACCACGTAACAGATCACAAGCTTCAACGCAGCCAACATATTACATATCTCTTTTTTTTTTTTTTTTTTTTTTTTTTTTTACTCCCTCAATCTTATAATATAAAAGATTAGCAAAAGTATGATATTATAAATGCTTTTCTTAAGCATGTTCCATGACTTAATCTATTTATACAGTGCAGTTGGCAGTTCTAGCAGGTGATTTCTTGCTCTCTAGGGCCTGTGTAGCTCTAGCATCTTTACATAATACTGAGGTAAATTTTATGTTTTTTTAGACATTTGAAATTGTAGCTCTGAATTGTATTTCCCCCCACTGCCTGTTGGTTCATAATTCTTTGTGAGAAACTCAAATATGTTGGGCAATTTATAAGTGGGGCAATTTACAAATGAGAATGTGTTTTGCAGGTTGTAACACTACTAGCTAAGGTTGTAGAGCATCTTGTCACTGGTGAAACAATGCAGATGACAACAACATCTGAGCAGCGTCTAAAGTACGTAGTTTTTCTCCTGGTATTATATTTTGTGTACCTTTTGCAGTCGTGCTTTGTTTGGAAGGGATAACCTAACTCTTTTTGTTCATAAATTGGCTGCCAAATTTGTGAATTAAAGGTGGTTTTTAAGCGATATGGATGCATTTGTTGATTGCATATTTGTTTTCTTATCTCCTGCATAGAGATCCAACTTGTCAAGTTCTCCTGATACGATACTGGAATTAAAACCTCAATATGTTATGTCAATGTTTTTTGCTTGTTTGATGTTTTGAAGGTGAAGGAACTTTAAAAAATCGCGGAGAAGAAGATATATCAGGAGACAAAGGGAAAACTAAAGATCTCTATATGGACATAAAAAAGAGGGGAAAATCTGTTGGTAACTCTATTGAATAATCATAAATGGCCTAAAGGAGGGACTTATTCTCATGAAGTTTCTAACTTTACTGAAGTTAATTTAGATATGTGTGAGCTTCTAAGACTTTGAAACAAGTACTATGTGCTATCATGGTCCTCGCTCCCGTATGGCGGTACGCAATAACATGCTACCATGTGGTGTTAATTTTGTTAAATTAATTACCTTGAAAGTTCTTTCACCCTTTCCAAAGAAATTTCTAATGTAGTTAGTTATGGAGTGGATTACTTAGTAGGAAATTTTGTCTTAAACTACAATTCCCTTTTATTTTTTTAATCTTTTTGGAAATATTGATAAGAACAGTCTTGTTAAACAGTCCTAACTTTCAATCAAACAAAATCTTACCCAACAATATGAACTCTTTTATGAAGTTGGTCCATGGCCAAGAGACCTATTACAGCAAGTATGCTTTTCTCTCTCTCTCTCTCTCTCCATAGCAAAAGTGTGTGTGTGTGTGTGTGTGTGTGAGAGAGAGAGAGAGAGAGAGAGAGAGAGTTATATACTCCCATTGTCCCTAATTTTGTGCTCCATTGCAATAATATGGGTCAAACTTTAAAATCTTTGACCATAATATTTCTTAATCTGTAAGAGATAATATAGTCATGTGAGATCTTTTTCGATCCGTCTCATTGATATTTTATTAATATTTAGTTTTTATAATTGTTACATGTATGAAAATGGAGATAAAATCGTTTCAAGACGCATCTTGGGGACCGCAAAAAGTCAAATGGGGCAAAATGTTAGGGATGGGGAGTAAATATTAAATTTAAGGAAGCCTAATTATTTTACTTTTAGAATCTAAGTATACAACCATATGATTCAAGGAACAATGCTGCCAGTGCCAGCTATGCATGTGGGGCTTGTTTATTTTCTAAAGATCTTAGGGGCTTTCATTGCGGGAATATTTGTATGTACAGTTTACCTATTGGACTTCTTTTCTTCTTTCTGTATTGTGAGGTGTCTTTTTTACTCATCGGGAAGGTTATATATGTTACAGAGAAGTGTTGGGTCAGTCAAAAAAAACTTCTTCGCTAATTTTGGGAATAATTTTGTGTGGCCTTTGGTAGTGATGACTAGTAAGAATCAAAAAGACACTTTGGAGTGCCATGAAAATTCTGGGGAATATTTTAGCCTGAGATGAATGGTTTAATGTATAAAAAAGGTCAAGGCACACCAAGGCAATTCGGAGTTCCTTATGCCTATGCACCTCTTGAAGTGAGGCGCACACACACGTAATAAACAATAAAAAATGTTGTGCGCCTTGGAACACCTCAGTGCGTCTCTGTGTGCCTTCAGTTATGCTTCATTAAAATCGCTTCAAGTAGTTCATTTGTTGCTGTTGCTCTGAGCTTGAGGCACCTAATGTCCAACTATAGGATTTTTTTATTTCCTTGAGCTACTGTTTTTCACACGATTTCTTATATGGTTCAGATAGAATGGTAATGCACCGACCTGATACTATTTTTATTTGGTAGCTGCTTTATGTTATATTGATTTATGCTTTATCATGTATGCAGGGCTGATATTTTGGTTCATTTCTACTTGCAGCATGCAGTATTACATGGACAAGACTTACTTCAAGACAGCCTCATTGATATCAAATAGCTGCAAGGCAATTGCTCTTCTTGCGGGGCAAACTGCAGAAGCTGCAACGTTAGCTTATGAGTATGGGAAAAATCTGGTGAGTGGTATAGTTGTCACCATCTATAATTTCTGTTAGTAGAAAGAAATATATATGTTTTCTCTGCATATATTATGATTGTAATGGAAAAAGAATGATTAGTTGTCAAATTAAAGAGTTTGGGGATAGATCATCCTTTTAGTGTAAGTGTACTGTGCAATCGCTGCATCAGAAAATGAATACACCTATGCTAAGTAGGTAAGTAAATTAAAAGCCCAATAGCGTCTGTTGGATTAATATGATGAACATATCAAAGTATCAAGGGATGGCCATGGGTCAAATATGGACCAGATTCGAATTTTCATATCCGAATCCAGATCCAATCCATGATTTTTAAGATCCAACAAAGATAATTTTAAAAATTTATAGAATCAAGATTTCAAAGTTATTTTGATACAATTTAATGCATGTCTCAATCATTACAAGATTAAATTTTTTGTGCTTAAAATGGGTGGTTGTTTCTGTTCATTTTTCTGGACGAATTATGAAATTGTGTTGGAAATTGAGTTACTGCAGATTCAGGCTAGCACTATGATTTTATAGTACCTTGTTTCTATATACTGATGAGTGTTGATTTCATAGGCCTTATGCTCCTTTTGCCTGTCTAACCTTAGGTCTGAAGTGACAAGTTAGGGAAATGATATTACTTTTTGTAAGGGGACCCATGGCCCTGTTAAGTTTGCATATTGCTCATAGAAAAAAAGCTTGTGTTAAATTAGCGTGTTAAAACTCTAAAGAACCTCTCCAGGAACTCATTATGGATTGGATATTTGTGATTTAGTTGTTCACCTTGAGGAACCCATTTCCAGTTATCTAGTTGTACACCTTGAGGAACCCATTTCTAGTTATCTTTAATTTTTTAATGTATTGATTCATCGGTTCATCCTGAGCTTTTTAATACCATAATATTCAGATTTATTGCATTTATTGATAGCTAAAGGCTAGCAGTTGCTTTGCTGTTCATCTAAGAATTAATTAAGTATGAGATAATTTTATGTTTAACCTTCCTTTCTGTTAGATAACTAGCCTTTTGGCCTGTTCGATGCACGGGTTATAACTTGGGTTTTTTTTTTTTTTTCTTTTCTTTGTAATGTGTTGCTTATTTGTGTTATATGCGTCGGGATTGTTTTGTACTTTTTTTTTTTTTAAAAAAAAAAAAAATGCTACATTGCTAACAAAGGGCATATAAATGCTACACTGGTAACAAAGGGAATATAAAAAGGAAATATTAAGTTCACTGCTAAAACTTAAAAGAAAAATATAGTGAGGGTGGAACCGTGGAAGAAGATGAAGAGTTATATATACTGTACATGAAATGACATATTGATTTAAGTTATATTTGTAGTTTAGGAGATGAAAAGACTTATTGTACTTCATATGTTTATATGTAATGTGCATTAATTAGTTCGACCTTATTTTTTTTTTTACTATTACTTTATTTTAAGTTTAGGAGATGAAAAGACTATTACTTTATTTTATTATGGTGGAAATGAAACACTTCATTTTTTAATTAAATTTGCAAGTTATGGAATACATAAAGAGTGAACATTAAATTTTTTGTTTAAAAAAAAATTATATTTAAAAGGAAATATTAAGGGAGGTGACATGTGGCATATAAGTGATTTGTAGCTACATGTGGTATATGAGTGATTTGCGGTTTGTGTTTTTAAATACTTATAATAAAGTATAGAAGTATAGATATCAGTATATATTGCTCATTACATCTCCATTTTTTTCCTCCCCAGGGACTCGCATATCAACTGATAGATGATGTTCTTGATTACACTGGCACATCTGCATCACTTGGAAAGGGCTCACTTTCTGATATTCGTCATGTAATCTCTTACCTCCTTTTCTGTTAGAAAGAATCGTACTTATTTGTCAAAAATCTCTATTCTATAAGCCAACTCTCGAGGAGTTTGGTGTCCATCTAAAATCTCTAAAATGTCCAAACTTCTTACGCAGTCTTTTAAAATAGTTTAACATGTTTTTAAATTTGAAGCACGCATGCATTGCATGCTTTTAGATCTTGTTTTCATTTAAGGAACCAAGAATTGTACTATCAACTTCCCTTTGTTCTTTAAATATTTGGTCTATTTATAATTACATTTAAACTCTGAATCGTACACTTAAAACCAAGAATCGTACACTTAAACTCTGAAGGCCACATTTAGCTGAAAAGCCAAAACATTTTTTGTAACTTTGGCTTGGTATCATACTATCAACTTCATGGGAGATTGACAGAGTTAAACTTAAAAGAAACTCATGTTGCAATTTAATCACTCAATCAGCAATGGCCATTGCTGCAATACATTTTTTGCATTACTGTACAGAAATACTGTTCTCGGTAATAATTTGTGGCAAAACTTCATAGCTATTAATATCACATTCTATAAGTGAAAAAATAATAATATCCTCCTAATTGATTTATTCAGACACACACACACACACACACACACACACAGAGAGAGAGAGAGAGAGAGAGAGAGAGAGAGAGAGAGAGAGAGAGAGAGAGAGAGAGAGAGAGAGAGAGTTATATATGTGTGTGTGAACTAGGTTGGCATACATCCAATTATTTTTAGTCTATTTATATTTACATATGCACTCTTTGAAAAAAAAAAATTCAGTCTGAGGGGTGGGGGGAAGGGCTGCACCTGGTCCTCCCCAAGTCCCCAGGCCCCACTGATTTATTTAAAGGGTTACCTGTCTTTTATTTCTTCAGTCACTAAGTGGTACATGTTGCTATTTTTCCACAGGGGATTGTCACAGCTCCTTTGTTGTTTGCCATAGAAGAGTTTCCACAGTTGAGTGAAGTTGTGCAGCGAGGTTTGGACAACCCTGCTGATATAGATCTGGTATGTTTATAAGTGAACTTCATTTTAAAATCCCTCTTTGTTTCTTGTTTATAAATTTTGCATGAACGAATGCTTTTATTTAGGTTGGGCTCCTAAATAATCGATCAGATATTTGTTGGTGACTTTGCTATCATTTTTGTAAGCATCTTTGTGGTGTACTAATTTGTTAGACTTATCTCAGCATATCTTTTCACCTCCCCACCTAATTATATGCTGTGTTATTTTGTCCTAGGAAGTTCCCTCAAGAACTCCAATTCACTGTCTAATCCAATTGAATGCCTGGAGTACTATAGTATCAAGTCATTTGATAGTATCCTGAAATTTTAAGTGTTGGTTGAAAAAACATCTTTGAATATCTCAATGCATACTTAGTATACAAAGTTGGTTAAAGAAGCTTTTGAATATCATTCAGCAAAAGGCTTTTTTTTTTCCCTCTTCTGTCTATATTCTGATTGGTCTATCTCTTGGGAATGATGTTGAGTGACCTGAGTCTTGTGCAATATTAGCTTGGAATATTTTGAGGTTCAGGAGTCAATTTCAAGTACATCAGAGCTCTGTTTTCCAAAATTGAAAGGGGTTCTCAGGACCTTAATATAAAGAAGGCTGTAAAGGGCTGGCTTGTGCAAGAAAAGTACTTGTAACTGGTAAGAGATTGGGGTTTTGGGTTGTGCTAGTGTGCCCAAGGATATGCATCTATGGTGCGTGAAGGAATATGGTCATTTTCTGTGCTTGCTTACGCCTTAATCCCATAAGTGGTAGGGGTGTGCAAGACAGGGTACCCGGTCAAAAACAATGGAACTGGTCTTAACCGGGTCCAACAATTATGGAATTGGTCCTAGAACTGGTGGGAACCAGTTCCAAAACGGGTACCTGGTTTCTCAGCAACTTTGAATATTCAACAACTAATTTGGCTAAAATTCCTTGCTAGATTTCACTGTCATATCAAAAATTAGCAAGCAATTACAAATTTAATAAGTAAATCAATAATCCACAAAGTATATACTCCATATCGCCTTTCCCTTCCATATTTAATTGTGGTGGAAAAAAAAAAATTAATCCCTCACAATCTCATATTATCAAAACAAGTGAAATAAAAAGAAAAAAGATGCAATGATGAAAAAGTAATAAAATTAAAAAGAGAGAAAGTATAGTTTTAGAGTAGTGGAATATTGGGAAAAGAGGAAGGAAGAGGATGGCGTGAGAAATTGAAAATGAGGGAAAGCAAGAGAGGGAGTGCGTGAGAATGGAGCGGCTGACGGAGATTGAGAGTTTTTAGGGTTTGTTTTATGGGATTAGGCCTTATATTACATGGGCTGCGAAAATTTCTTAAATTTTTATTTTTTTACAAAAAACCCAATCCTAATTCATGCATCTAATTTAACCGGGTACCCGGGTCAGGACTTGGAATCGGAACCAGTTCTAACCGGTTCCAGTTCTAAAATCAGGTACCCGGAATATTTGATCACTCCTAATAAGTGGGGTCGGCTAAATGAACTAATACGAGGACTTCCCTAAAGGTCACCCATCTTAGTACTACTCTCAATCATTGTGGCTCATGTCAAAAGTTTTACACTCACTGTCATTGACCTACCGTAAGTCCGTAACCCTCCTTTATCCAAGCTTGGGACTCTGGCGGAGGTTTAATTTTTTGTGGAGCCTTTTTTTTTTTTTTTTTTTTTTTTTTAACGTTGTTTCAGTAATATGGTTTAGGATGTCTTGTCTAGTATTAATGCTTGTCATGCAAACCTGTGAAAGTTGATCTAGAAGTATCCAGGTTATCTTTTGCATTATTAAAGGTGAGAGTTGGTTGATCTAAGTCCTTGGGAGTGGTACCTAAGAGTCTATGACCTTTGGTAAGTTTGATTGAATTTTAACATCATTATTGACCTTTGTGGCTTTTTATGCACACACAAAGTTGCAAACGGGGACAAAATAATTCAGAGATAGCTCTTGTTATGAACATAATGTTGATTGATGAACCTCTTCATACCATGGTATAATAAGGGAAGTACTTACCATTCCTTGCAAGATTTTATTCCAAAGAAAACATCATAAAGCGGTTTAGTTCTTAGTTGGGTTTTTATTTTTGTCATGCACCAGATAAAAGGGGGTGGAAGTATTTTTTGGTAGATGTTTGTCCATATTTTTATAACCAATTGCTTGAAAGACCAACCTATCTGCCTTGTCAGGTTTTGGGTAATCACATATTCACATAAGCATGTAGATAGTTCTCTTGCACAAGAGAATTGTTTTTTTCATTTCTTTCATACTAGTATATACTACCTCTGTTTTTAATTACTTGACTAATTGCAAATAGGCACACAATTTAAGAAAGAGTAGACTAGAATTCTAAAAGTCCAAACTACCTCTGCCAGTAACTATTCCCCTCCACTGACTTTTCACTTTTTCAGTCTCACCACCGCAACCCACACGCTACCACCATTATCCCTCACACGCCACCACCACAGCCACTGTAATCTCTCACTCCACCACCACAACCACCAAACCCTCTTCAAACTTGACAAAAATCGCATATGTACCGTCGTACATACCACCACAAAAATAAAGGAATGAGAGGAGAGAGAAAATACCCACACTTCACCAACCACCGTCCGTGAGCAGAAAAATTGAGAGCGAGCTATTGGTGGTCGAATTTAGCTATGGTGGTTTCAGATCTACAATTGCTAGCCAAATTCGACCACCATAGCCTCGATTTTGGTGAACTTCAAACCTTTTTACAAATTAAGGCGGTCACGGCACATAGTAGAGCCGTGGAGGTGACAAAAGAGGGTGTGAGGGGAGGAGTTTGGAGACCATCGATAGTGAAGAGGTAGATATGGGTGATGATTGATGTTTTCGATGGTGTTTCAAAAATATTGTTGAGGTGGTGGAGATGGGTGGCTGCCATGGATAACTTGGAGGGAGGATATGGTGGTGTGGTGAACTATGAAGAATTAAAGGGGTTGAATGATTGAGGTGAGAGAGAAGGGGGTATGGTAACAAAGGGTATATGGTTTTAATTATGTTCACAATGTGAGGGTAAATAAGTAAAGTGTAGTGTTAAATTTGCCAAAAAAAGGAAACAGGTCAAGTAAAAAGAAACTTCCCAAAAAAGAATACAGGTCAAGTAAAAAGAAACTTCCCAAAAAAGAATACAGGTCAATTAATAAAGAACGGAGGAAGTAATAAGGATTTTGCTTGCTTGCATGTCCTTTTCAGCTTACTAGTATAATTGCCAATAGAAGCCCATAGCAGCTCGCTTTATGATTTGAGGAATGTTACGTATTTGTATAATCTGGTTTTTTTTTTTTTTTTTTTTTTTTCATTTAGGCTCTTGATTATCTTGGAAAAAGTCAAGGGATACAGAAAGCAAAGGAATTAGCACTGAAGCATGCAAACCTTGCAGCTGAAGCTATTGATTCCCTTCCTGAGAGTGATGACGAGGATGTTAGAAGATCAAGGCGTGCACTTGTAGATCTTACACACAGAGTCATAAACAGAACTAAGTGAATAAAGATATGGACGATTTTGTTTGATTTATTTCTGTCTTCATGTATAATGGGGCAATCTCAAGGTTAGCCTCAATATTCTTTCACAAGTTTAAGTTATTTTCGTTTGCTGCGGTTCAAAGCAAAGGCGTATGCATAAAAGTTTTAGTTAGACAATAGTGGATAAAGATGTACGAGTAATGAACATAGCAAAATTAATGCCTTTATTATTATTATTATTATTATTATTATTATTATTATTATTATTATTATTATTATTATTATTATTATTATTATTATTATTATTATTATTATTATTATTTATTTATTTATTTATTTATTTATTTATTTATTTTTTTTTTATTTTTTTTATTGCAGTTGCTTCTAATACCATTATAGAATATTTTTGTAGTTATACAATATTTAGCGTCTTTTTGCCTGCTAATAACATTTGAGTTTTATTTTCCCGCATGTTTCTTAGAGTTGCTCCTTTTCAGAAAAAAAATGAAATATTTACAGAGTGACAGTTCTAGTTGGGATTTTCTCGAACAAATTGCATGGAATATGCAGTTTGAGCACAGGGGCGCTTTAAAAATATTTTTGCGTGAAATTGTTAGCTTGTTGTGGATAGCTAAGCTGGTTACTATGAGAATCCAAAGAATGTGTGTTCCACTTGACCAAAGTTTGAGGGTTGCTTCACAAAAAAAAAAAAAAAAAAAAAAAAAAAAAAAAAAAAAAAAGTAAAAAGTAAAGAAGATGAACAACGTATGTTTGTGATTCACTTTGCATGACCTATTCCATGGGATAAGGGATAATAATTACACGTATAGAGTGAAGCTAGGTTTATAATGTGTGAAACATTTTTTGAATTTTTCTTTTTACAAGAATAGATGAAATCTTACTAGACCAATTTTGGTTCATACAAATCTTGAAATCCTTCTTTACTACTTTTGTATTAATATCTTTATTTGCCAATTAGTAAATATTATTTCATCTTTCCTAAATTATATGTATCACTTTATTATAAAGTTGTTCTAAATACCCTGCAATGCTATAAAGGAAAAACATCCAAAGTTTTTGTTTTTTTTTAGAAAGATACATCCAAAGTTTTTATTACTTGGTATGTATTTCGTATATCTTCTTCAAAATATATTTTGTATATCTTTTTTTACCTCTCTCATGCCCCCACAAAAAGTGACACATGGCCAACTAATCAATAACTATAATACCAATAAAATAAATTCTCGCTAATAACAACCACACAATTAAAGAGTTGTGAATTCAAGACCATAAGAGTATGAAAATTTGATGTATTTAAAATACATATTTATTAGACGCATTTAACAATATTCCACTAAACAAAGTAAAAATTCGGTGAAGGTTAAGTCAAATCAGAAAATTTTCAAAAATATTTAAAATAGACCAAAATAAATCTTAATTCATTCTACTAGAACATCGAACGTGTTGTGTCTTACGTTGTGCTAGCTAGTGTTTAGCATGATTTATCTGGTGTTTGGCTAAAAGGTTTTTAAACAAAGATACATTACTCTCTCTCACACACAAATTATCAAATATGTTGGGAGTTGCTTGAGACAAGAAATGGGAAGATTATTATGGAGATTAGTGAAATAAAGGTGGTTCCAAAGAATGCAAACCATATGGATAGGTCGTAGTCTCTTAGACATGCTTTTGCAAAGGTTTTAATGGCATATTTTTATATCGTAATATATACCATGTCCTGGCTCTAATATAAAATATCCCCACAAAATGGGCAAAATAACTAAAGCCCAAAAAGTTCAGATTTAAATGCTTGAGTATCATGATGATACTATCATCGTTCATCAGAAGCTTGCCGCTATAATTTACCTCCGGTTCATACTATATACAATTTTGGAATTTTTTTGTATCTCACAAATAATACACCAAAATTGCATGTAGTATGAACCGGAGGTAGTATTATTATTTGATTATTCAAATATATTGTTACATGCCAAGTTGCCAACTAATGTACTTCTCGCCCAAAGGACAAAAGAACAAGGGGAAAGAAGGAAAGAGTACATTAATGTTTTACCAATGGAGAAAGGATTATGATTTATGTACAATCATCTAAAGTTACATTATAAATTTGTGAGTAAATAAATTACAACTATAACATTATACGAACACTAGTCTTACTTCTTTGAATTTAGGAAGGCGAAGATGAATTAGGCCTAGTTTGCACATCAAGAAAAAAAAATCGTGACAAATATAGGCTTTTGGTGTATGGAGAAACATAAAGGGTTGTGATGTAGACGGGTTTTAATCGCAAGTCTTTAGCACCACCCCAAAACCTTAACCAACTAAAGCAGTCGACAGTCAAGACATCGAGCAAAATTCTACCTTGTTTCCATGTGTTATCAACTCATTGAATTCTTCATCAGTAGCCTTGAGCATAGTTGATAAAGGAATCTTTGATCCACTCTCCAAAACCTCCAAATGTCTCGGCTTAATTCTCTTCTCCAAACTAAAAGCAAAATATTGAGGAAATTCCCTCAATTCCTCCAAATTACCCTTCATTTCTTCAAGAAAATACTCTATCTTGGGATTATAATTGTTCTCAATACTAAAAGTAAACAAAGCAGGACACCTTAAAACCATACTCACAGCTTCTTTTCTACTAAAACCCAACTCAATCAAATACTCGAGTTTCGGTATCAATGTCTTCTCAACATTTGATACCAACAAGATAGGATCATTATAAGCTAACCCCTCAAGATTTTTAAACCCAAGTCTTTTAAGATAAGAAAGAGCGGGTTTAAGTTGATCATTAACACTTGAAACTAAAAGTCTTGGACATTTATTGATCACTTTTCGAAAATTATGATCAGGAACTCCAAGATCAAAAGATATGAAATTGAAAACAGGGTTAAGCTCTGTTTTTATGTTGGAGGTAAGAATTAAAGGGCACATCCCAAAAATTTTGGGTAAGTCCTTTTGTTGGATCCCTTTAGATTGAAGGTATAATATAATGGCATGTATCGAGTCAAGAGAAGTCGAGTGGAGGGAAGGGTTAAGAGCGAGCGCCTTACCGGAATCGATACCGAGGATTTCGAGGCAGAGGATTTTTTCTTTGAATTGGAGGGAGATATTGGAATGAGTTTGGGTGTAAAGTGGGTTATTAACAAGAATGCTTTTGGATTTTGGGGTTAATTGATCAAAATTAGGATTTGAAGGTGGTATTAATGGAGGTGATAAACAAAGAGAAGAATGAAGAGCTGATGCAATTGCTTTCATTATGATAGAATTGGAAGAAGAAAGTTGGTTGGATGGAAAATGGAGGGAAGAATGAAGAAATGGATGTAAGGTAAACTATGGTGGTTATTGGGTGATTGTTGTTTCTTATCTTTGATTTCATTTGGCAATGGTGACATGGCCTTTTGTGGATGTGTTATTGGTTGGTGGAAGATCATTTTAAGATCAAGTGTATGTGGCTATGTGGGGCATCTTTATAAACTTGCTTCTTTGCAATTTAGTTCGTTACTTTATTTTATTTTATTTTTTAGGTTTCCTATTTTCTCCCTCATACCATAATTATTGACACTATTTTTTTTTCACTATTTATATATTTATACACTACCTCCATTTTATATTTTTTGCAACTTTGGAATATTTAATATCTCACAAATAATACCCCAAAGTTGCAAAAAATATGAAACGGAGGTAGGACTAAGAGTGATTGTAATTTTACAGAACGATTGAAAATATACGTTATAATGTAAAATGTTATCACAAAGTTTCATATGTTGTAGGCAGGGCTAAGCACAATAGGTTAACTGTACCGTTTAGCCTTAACGGTTAATCGTTATGTCGGTTACTAAAAAATACGAACCGTAACCGTATCGTTAAGAAACGGTTAACCGTTATGGTTAAACGTTCCTTAACGGTACAGTTACAGGTTAACCGCTACCCATTTAATAAATTTTAAATCAACATCGTATTTTAATACAAACTTTAACTTAACAATAAAATTCATGTTCCAATTAAGAAAACAAATCGATAAACCAAATACATTACAAAGTTTTAATTACTAAGATTTTTTTAAAAGCATAACAAGACATACAATCTAATGATATTACACATATTAAATTATCATCGTCAAATTGAGACCATGGCATATTAGCAGACAAGCAACCTAGAAGATCAAATTGCATCCTTATATATTTTTCCTACAAAAATTAAATAAAACAATATATATTTATTTTAACGGTTAACTATCGACTAACTGTTGGCTTAAAATTGTAACCGTAATCGTTAACTGTTATATTTAGCGATTCGGTAAATTGACCGTTTAAACGAGTCGGTTATACCGGTTAACGGTTACAGTAAACAATTACGGTTTTTTTGCCCACCCCTAGTTGCAGGTCACACCGTGTGGCCGGAGTTACTTATTTAGGTGTTATTCAGTCAGCCAGGGGTTACTCGGTCGGTCAAGGTTTACTTGGTCTATTAGAGGTTACTTGGTCAGTCAAGTGTTACTCGATCGACCATGGGTTACCCGGTCAGTGTTTTAATGTGTGTCAACAGGCCACAAGGTGTGGTCAGCCACACAAAAAACGCGTTTAAATTGAAATAAGTGAAACCTTTCTCTTGTGCACGTATATCAATGTAAAGTTTTACTGATAATATCTTTAATTATCAATAAGTATAAATTATAAGAATTGAATATTAATAAATTATTCATTGAGACGATTTCAACAAGTACCCACAAAACTATATTCATTCTTTTATATAAATCACAAACATTAGTCAAAGTGAATTAGATGAATAGTATAATAAGTAAAAAATATTTCACTTATTTAAATACAAAGAGAGTTGTATTAATATAAAGTTTCAGAATATTAATTTTTGTTTTGTACATAGAGATTAAATAATATATATGGACAAATTAATCACTATAATCTATACACATAGTATGAACTATGTATCCTATTCCCAATGTTTAAGTTATTTTGATAGTCATTTTTTTACTTTTATAATAACTTACTTTCTATAAGTGCGTGTTTTGAGACTGTGTTGCAAGTAAAGAAAAGAAAGAAATATATTTTTTTACTCTTTTTGTTTTTATAAGGACTCGCTAACTTTTACTTTCTTAATGCCATAATATAATTCGAAATTTTTTTCAAGGGAATTAAGCGTAGGAGGAATTCTAAGACTCAAATAGTTAGAGTCATAGATGACTCTAATAAGGGCATATCCGTCCATTCACTATAATCCCACTTGCAAACAATTAAAAAAAAAGTCAAATTGAAAACCGAAAACCAAAAAGAAAGGGAAAAGGACAACATAAAAATAAAAAATGGAAAAACAATTCAAGTAATTCAAAAGGGAAAATGACAGCTCATTGAAGAAAAATAAAAATGGAGAAAAGGACAGCTCATCAAGCAAAATAAAAAAAAAATTCACTCTCTTTCTCAGTAGTTTTTCTCTCTCTAAATTTTACAAGATCTCCAGCGACTTACTGTTAAATACGATCGCTTTCCGGCCAAGTTAAAGCTCAAGTCCCTAGCATTTATGGTGTAAAGGTAACATCTTGATGGTATTCTTTTAGATACCAATGAAATTTTTGATGGTATTCTTTTAAATACCAATAGCCCTCGATGGTATTCTCTAACAATTCTTGATAGTATTGTTTTAGATACCAAAAGCCTTTGATGGTATTCTACAACAATCCTTGATAGTATTCCTTTTTGCTATTTGCGGTTGATGGTATTCTTTTAGATACCAAGTACAATGAACTTTTATTTCGATTTGTTGGATAATATAAATTAGGGAACCTATTCAGCCGTTAATACTCAATAGCAATGTTGTTATTGATGTGGTAATTTGATGTGTTCTTCAATTACCCACAAAATTCCGACACTTGCTTGGCAGAAATATTGCGATTTGAGCATAATAGCGGCTAGTGTTCTGGTGAGTCGAAGGTGGAGGAAAGTGAGAGCCAAAAAACACAACAAGAAGAACTAGGGTCTCTTACCGCCATTATTTGGAGTCAAATATTTTTCCTTGTAGAGAAATCCATTTGAAGAGATGTATTACAAAGAAACTGAAATTGCAGGATTTCTTTTTTTAGCAATGGAGTTTTGTTTTTAAGCTATAATATTAATTACAACCGTCCTTTTATTTTTTTTTCGGAATTTGTTTTGCCTTTTCTTTTTTTACTTTCCCTTTATTTTTCCAACAATTACCTTTTTACATTTACGGATGTAGTGATGTACTAGAGTCATCTATGACTCTAACTATTTGAGTTTTAGAATTCTTCTTATACATAGTAGGGTTCTACTAAAATCTTCCTACAAAAAATACAGAGAATAATGAAGGATCACGAGGCGATCATGAAAGGAATGGTGTCCTTCCAACAAGTGTATTATTCTGATAGACGGTTCAAATTATCAGGAAGCTAATTCTTCAATGAGATCAAGTGATCGGAATGCCTGGGTGGAGGCCGCTTCCGATCTGTAATATTAGGGAACAATTAATATTACAGCTTTGTCTTGACTAAACCCTTCGGGTCGAACCCAAACGAACTGCCGATCCGAACCGACGAATCAATCCGAAGGATTTGATGAGTCACTAGAGTATTATAAACACAGACGTCGGATATCGACCCTAGGGGCTCGAGACTGAGCGTCGCAAAATCAACAAGCAACAAGTTTAAGCGTAGCCGTGGCATCACAATGGCCTAGCCATGTTGACGCTAGGCTAGCTCGAGCTAGCATGCACTTTGCATGGCTAGGCGCAAGCCTAGATGCACTATGTGTGCTAGACGCACCGTGCATGCTAGGCGCACAGCACACCATCGCAAAGCTAGGAGCTTGCGTGTGTGTGCATCACTAGTTCTGGGCGCATGGCAGCACCATCGTAGCACCATGCGTGCTTGCGTGCGTGCCTACGCATAGCACAACACCATCGCATTGCTAGGCCTGTGCGTGTGTGTGTGTGCGTGCATGCCATCGCAGCAGCAGCACGCTGTGCTTGCTTGCTTGTGTGCGTGCCTTCGCATGGCAGCACCAAGCAGCAAGCAGCGAGCAACAAGCTAGGAGCCTCGCACAACAGTAGCAGCAAGCAGCGAGGCCTCGCCCAGCGCCCAGCAGCCAGCAACATGCGTGGCTCGTTAGCAGCACGCATGTGCTAGGCGTGTTGGCTGGTGCGTGCTGGTTGTGCTAGCTGATGCGTGCTGGCTGTGCTAGCTGTGCTGGGCTGGTTGTGCTAGCTGGCCAACAAGGTTGGCAACCAACTCACCCCTTGCTTGATGCTGGTTCGAGGAGAGTGGGGACCAAGGCTTAGAGCCATGCCTTGGGGAGAAAGGCAATTGTCCCCCCATGGTCATGGTCCTCACCTAACCTCTCCTCTCCTCATGCCACTTGTTGATTTGTGATTGCATTGTTTTATAATTTATTTTGGAATTAAGTAAATTAGTGAAAAATGCAACTATCCCACATTGATCATGAATGGGAAGAGCAAGTTGCATTTCCCTATAAATACCCCATGATTGGGCATTTGGAAATCAACTTGAGTGGAACTCAAAAAGGCATCTCTTATTATTGAGAAAACCTTTAAGTTCGTAAAACTCTAGTTTTATACTTAGTCAAGTCTCGACTAACCCTCGAGACAAAGATCGTTCGGGTCGGGTCGTGGGTACGAGCCGTTGGAGGCCGTAACGCTTGTGAGGCTTTAAGCTTCGAAGTAAGAGCTCGATTTGCGAGCGAAGCACGCTTCAAGGGTATTACTTCTTTATCCCTTTCTTAATTATTGTTTAATTATGTTTATGCATGCTTTATTGCTTTAATTATTGGGGCGGGTCTTGGGCGGGTTTCTCTTTCGCGTAGCGTTGGACGCTACGAAACCCAACAGATCATTCTAGGAATAATTAACCATAGCAAATTATACACATACACTATACACATTCACCAAGATTCTGAGCCCAAAATATATACTCCCTCTACTTTTTTAATGCTAACTTGAGTTTGCACATTTGCCGACGCACACTTTTGACCATTCATTAACTTTAATATTAGTTAAGAAATAATAATCAAAGTTATTAGAATCGGGATACCTTGAATCGGTGAATGTGGTAGAATCGAATTAGTAAAATCGAATCGTAGAATCGTACGATTTAACAAATTTAAATAATTGGGTTTTAAAATGATATTAAATGACTAAAAACATAACTTTCAAGCAATAAGTATGATAATAAATATAGTGTTGCTAACATAATTTCAAAAATACAAATTTAGACTTGTTTTATTAGTACTATCACACACTCCTAGTTCAAATAGACACTTAGGGCGTTTACGATAAAAATGTAGTTGTTAGCTATGATAGTAATTGTTAGCTGTATGTGTAGTTGTTAGCTATCAACTAGCTATTAGTTATGAAATTTATTAATCAATTATTAGTGTTTGACTGTTTGGTAAAGTAGCTGTTAACTAGCTATTAGCTGTAAAATTCTAAAAATACAAAAGAAAAATTCCAACAGCTACTTAGCTTTTCACTACAAAGCTAATAATATTAATTTTTTACAAAAGCTACTCCAACCACTGAACTCTACTCCAACCACTACATTGTCAAATACTCATATCATGTACTAAGTAATGGTTTGAATAAGTCAAACCACTAAAAGCTACTCAAACACTAGTGCCGAACACGCCAATAGTACACTATAAAATCATAAGATTGTTTCTCCTAGTAAATAATCCACTGATAATGGTATACTAAGTGTCAAATAAGTTTAGTTCAAAGAGATAGCTAATATATGACAACCACAACAAACTTATGTGATAAAAGTGTTTTTATATAGCTAATGGTCAATGTTGAGCTCATAAGACTCATGAATCTATGATTTATTTTGTCCATGAAATTCAAATGGTTGGATAGCATTTTAAAAGAGTTTTAAATTGATATTTCTTAACCTTAGTTTCAATTTATATTGAAAATAGATAAACAATTGAATAAAAAGTAGGCTCAAATATGACACCCTTGCACTCTTTTGGCCATATCATATGATATATAAAAGATATGGATTCGAGACCAATTGGGTTAGAAAATAGATTTCAAGAGCTTTTCAACGGTATGTTATAAGCCTAATTTTAAAATCACAATCAAAAGTTATGAGCTTCGAAATATCAAGGATTTTGCAGGGGTTGAATTGTTAGAATCGCTCTTAGAATCAGTCCGATTCTAACGATTATATGAGCAATTCTACCACACGACAATTTTGTGTACGATTTAAATCGTTTGGGTAGATCAGGATCAATCTGGATCGCGATTTTAATAACAATGATATTAATAATAAAATTTTATGTACTCCCTCCGTCCCAGAATATCTGGGACTTTGGAATTTTTTCATTATACATTATTATCTTTGACCATAATTTTTATTAACATAAAAAAAACAGTTATCATAAAATATTATTAGATAAGTATTAATATAAAGTTTCATAATATAATTTTAAAAATAATTTTTATTAATATTTAATTATATAAAAATAAAGATAAATTAGTGCAGTGACATTTATGCAAAGTTGACTGTGTCAGATGTTTTGGGATAGAGGGAGTATTATAAAACTAGTTGTTGTTACTAATCCAACATACTAAATTATATCATTAATCTATTTTATAAAAGTATCAATAACATAATACTAAAATAGACACCAGGAATGACTTGTGTCACTTCTTGGTGCTGTTTTTTCCCTCCAAAACTCCCTCTCCTTTTTTAGCAAATTTTTTTTTTTTTGGAATATTTGTATAATACAACTATAATAATATATTATTCCTAATCTTATATATTATCTTTATAATATTGTATTCCTTTTTACTTCATGTTCTGTTTACTTAAAATATTTACACAAGATTTTTGAGACCTTTTAATTAAGGAAGAATAAGCTATAATTTAGAACGTTGAAATATATATGGACGGAGCCAAAAATACAATATTAACATTTAAATTACCATTATATAGTTGTACAATAGTGGGGTTCAATAGAAAAAAAAACATTTCTATTCATGTTGTTGATTTGAAATCTTATGAAATATTAATAATTGAGTTAGTTTTCTGTTAAATATGTCTGTGATAATTGTACCAACTTATAACTTTTTTTCCCTTCAAAAAACTATTAACTATTACTAAAATAGGTTATGCTTACATCGATCATTTTAGACATATGTCAAGCTATCATTAAAAAATTTCCCGCCAATACAATATGTGATACTAGCTTTAAGTTTCTTTTTTAAAAAAATTATTCTACTTAGCTTATTCTTTGGAAGTACATTACATTTGTTTATTCCACATAAATTGCCTCATTTTTTTATTATATCACAAATTAATTATGCGAAAAAAATTAAAACTACCATGCATCGCACGGGTACTAATCTAGTTAGTTAAATAATTAAGCCAAAACTAATGTATGAATAGTGTAAATCCCTAGTGATGCATTTAAAAATAAAAATAAATCAAAGAAAGTATTACGCTTCGTTTGCTTTTTATTCACAAAGTTTCTGTTTTTTACGTTTGTCAATGCATAACTTCAACCATTATACATTTGTAAAAGTTAATAAATTTACATTTTAATAATAAACTACAATGAATCTAACATGTTCCCATATGATATATATTTCTTTATTTATAAAAGACAATATAATCAAAGTAAAATATTTGAATGGTGTGCACTGTAGATATGTTTCAAGTGAAAAATAACCTCTGTAAAAATAATAAACAGAAGCAGTAACATAATGTCTGTATTTTTACAATTAACCTAATTCTATTTTAGTTGAACAACTCTCAATATAGTGAAAATTGGAAATAAGACATTCTTTCAAGGGGCAGAAAGAATTCAGTAGAAAAGGAAATAAGAGAGAAAAATATATGCACAATTGTACACTCAATGATGTCAAATGACTTGATTGTGAGGTCTCATTTTTCTATGGTAACTCAGAGAGAGAATGTGCAAATGTGCAGATTATACAGATCCTATAAGCAATGTTAGCAATCTCAAACATTCAAGTTCCATAATTCTATTGTTGTACAACAATCTTTACTCACTATAGCCCACCCACACCGGAAAATATATATATATATATATATATATATATATATATATATATATATAAAAGAAAAAAAAAATCCCAAGAAAGCCTTCCCCCTTATGTTTACAAGCCAATGAAGCAATGAGATCATTTGCTCATACCAGCATCAACATCATAATCCTTTCACTTAGTATGAAATTTAGAATGGCGGTCGGTGCCTGTCATAAGATAAGAAAAAGACATCAGAAATCGGACAAACAATTTTAATCTAAGATAAGGTCTCCCAAGCAAGGCAACAGTATGTTGTGGAATAGGAAAAGCAGCTAAATTATGTTTTCCCTGATCTTACATTCCCTACAGGGTTACAAGATACTCTAAAATACAAAAAATAATACCGTGAAGCGGGAATTAGCTTTTTTCCTCCTCCTCATTGATCTGTTCTCCTGTTTTCCAGATAATGTCTTTCAGCCCAGTAGAAAGGCTCTTGTAAAACTATAATTATTAGATTAGGGTCAGTGCAAACAATACAGAGGCATGAAAAAAAAAAACAAATCATGAAGAAACACATAGCTGCAGCAAACAAAAAATGTCAGGGGTTGGTCAACAATGCAGAAGATAGGGTCAAGTCCTTTTCATAGTAGTGACCTACGGATTCTTAGTGCTTGTTTGGTTGCTCTTCTTTGACATAGGCAATGGAATTTATAAGAATTACTTACATCTCTTGTTTGGTTAGCATGAAATTTGCAAAATGGAAGAATTGCAACTTCCTAACTCCTAAGAATTTTGAGTTTCCATATATTATGGGAAGTTAATTACCTAACTCCCCCTTGGTCATTTAAAATTCACATGAAATGCAAATTCCTTTGTCAACCAAATAAGTGTCACGAATTCCTAGGATATATAAGAAGTTACTTCCTATGAAATGTAAACTATCATAAGAGTTTAATTCCCAATGTAACCAAACAAGCACTTACATTTCACACAATTTGCTACAATTGCTCTTAGTCAACAATCAAAAGTGCACAATTACTCGAAATCTGCCCACGAACATAGACCTATAGCCTATGAGTTGCTGCTATTTGTGTTGGAATAAGAAAAGACACTTTTTACCAGGACAAAAAGGCTCATATTTGCAAAGATTAGAATTTCTCACAATTTAACGGTACAGTTAAAGGTAAAAATGCTTTAACATACAGACCTTGTGAAACTCCAGGGTGTCCCCACGAGACTTGCGAAGTTCCACCATATATAGAGAAGGAGCCACTTCTAAAATCTGAACAAAGACAATAAAACTGCTAAGATACACATAGCTAGATATTAATGTTCTATAACTTTCGAAAAACATGGCACTTCTACTGTTCCAACAAACTCTGAATAACAGTTCCCATAAAGCATAACGATTAAGGAAAATGTTAAATTAAAAAGCTTAATGGATAATTGGATATTCCAAAGAACAAAAGTTATTTTAAATAAATTAACATTTTCCTCAAAGGACTAAAAACCATTTAATTTTTTTTTATTAGCATGGAACTTGCCATTTATAAAAAAAAAAGGACAGAGTAATATTTGTAATTTCTGAAACAAAGACACTTTCAGAGTGATACCTCAGTCGCAACAGCTAGCTGACCCTTGCGTCCACTTTTCTCTCCTTGAAGTTTCATCTGAGAATCACCATAAGGGGGGTTTTGTCATAAGAGACTTAGCATCAACAAGAGGGATATAAAAGAGGCAAAGCTACAACTCAAATAAACGGTGAATTAAGCATTAGATGAACTCCTAAGCTTCTATGAAGTATATGGTTGAACAGCGAGAGAAAACAAACATAGAAATAATTGGCAGAACACAAACATTCAGGAAACTACAACAGTGTATTCAGATTGCAGAGTGACAATGAGAAAAGAGGCCATTCTACCTTGTAGTTATTCTTTTTCACGCCAAAACCCAAAGGAACAGCTGTCTGCTCAATTTTTGAGATAATCTCACTAGCTGGCATTTTAGATGTAAATCTTGTTTCACGTTTCACGAGCCCCTACAACCAAAATATATATATATATATATATACGTAAGATCTCTTCAACTTTATTTACTGGTCGAGATGTCATTCAGCTAATTACTGCTTACTACAACATCATTTTCCATAAGATATAGAATGAAAGTGAGTGCTAAGGGTGGCAATATGCAATAGGAAGTCGAGGAAAAGCATCAACCAGGATATTATTGAAGAATCAACTTTCAAATACAAAAAGTCATGCACAATTTTTACCAGTATATGTTCCTCGATTTTTTCAGTATCGCGACAGCAGCTACAAATTTATGAATTTAAAAAAACAAAAGAGGGAAGAGGGGGGGGGGGGACTTACCATCTGTTTTTCAAAGAGTGAGCCCAGGTTTAGACCCTGAGATGTGGAGATGAGCTCAAATGCATTCATGGCAGCAGGAGGTTGAGGGACCACAGTTCGTTCTTCCCGTCTCTCAACCACAAGGTTTCCAGAGAGCTGCAGACAGAGCCCATGGAAAGATGCTTACATAAGAAGAGCCATACAGAAGTCAAAAAGATTAAAGAGCAACATGAAAGAAACAAGAGGCTTACCATCGACTGGTCAAAAATAGCATCAATATCATCAACTGAAATATCAGGCTCCTCGAAAACAGGGGGTTTGTAACCTTTCTTAAACCACTCATGTTCAATCACTTCAGCAATTGTAATTCTCTGGTTGACACCATCAACCACCAAAGAATCAGAACAGCAAGATTAGCAACAGATGTAGCAAGTAATAGAACCCCAGAATAATTAGTTAAACTAACCGTTGAAGGATTAGGATCTAGAATTCGTTGGATCAATTTCTTCACACTCGAGGAAAACCATGGTGGACAGGCAAAATCAGCTTTGTATATCTGCAAACATGAGACATAGACCAGGCATAAGCTGAAAAAACCATAAAAAATAAATCAAATAAAAACAGAAGAGAGAATTTTTCTCAACGAAATCATTAAACATCCAAGATGTACTGTCATTGGTAAGAAGAGAATGAGCTGTTAAAATGATTTACTGAGGTATTTTTCACCACTAAGTCATTAATATGAACAAAAATAAATTCCAAAAAAACACTTAGAAAAATCTTCCAAAAAAACTACTTCAAAACCAATATTTATGTAGACTAGTTGCTATTAACCAAAACATTAAAAATTATATAACCAAAATAAGCTCCATAAACAAAATTCAGATTATGAATAGGAAAATTTGGTTATAATAATCCCAACTTTGGGCCATTCACTTTAAATTATTCCAACTTCTGATTGTTATGGAATAATCCCAACTTGGGGGGGCGTTTTCTTTCGACAGGCTAAATGACTGGTGACCTGATCAAGAGGTTACTTTTTTTTTTTGGTTAAATGTCACGTGTCGCAATTTCATTGGTCAAAAAAAAAAAAAAGACCTTTCCAGCCCCCCTCCCTCCTCTTCCCCCACCAGAAACGCACAAGCCCCTCCCCTTCCCCCTGTTGAAAAGCCCAACCCTTCATCTTCCCCCGCCGGAAACCTAGCCCCTACTCGAACCCCTTCCCCCACCCCAGAATCCACCCGGAGCCCTCCTCCCCCGCCCCCGAAACCTACACCTACTTTCCTTCGCACCGTAAAATGCCCCCCTCCCTTGCCTAACCCTCAAAACAGTCCCCCCCCCCCTTCCTCCACACCCAAAACCGCTTGGGGGGTCGATTTTGAAGGTTGGGGAAGGGGAGGGAGGGCGTTTTCCCGGCAGGGGAAGGGAGGGGGAGGCTTCGTGGGTGGGGGAAAAGGGGGGGCTGGTTTTCCGGTGGAGGAAGGGGGTGGGGTGGGGTTTGGTTTTAGGTAAGGTGGGGTTTCTGATTTTTTTATTTTAAATTTTTTTGGGCCAAACAGGGCTTGAATCGCTTGTTATAATAGGTTATTGTGTTGACTTTTGTGACCAGTGATGGCATGTTGAAAAAAAACGCCCCCCAAAGTTGAATTATTCCACAATAATCGAAAGTTGAGATTATTTACAGTAAATGGCCCAAAAGTGAGATTATAAAACCAATTTTTCCAAGTAAATATAAACCACTTTATGTACAAGAACATTGAGAGATATAACACTATAACTCAAACCAAAATAATCAGCAAGAATCCATATGCTCCTCTATTTTATTGTATATCTTCCAAATCTGTATATTGACCAATAAATATGATACCTACTACACATTATATTTGACACCGGACACACTATTTAGTAGGAACCCACTTTTCATATGATTTTCTAGCAATATAAGTTGTACGACTTTGATAATTAAAATTATTGTAGGGTTTGTAGCATTAACAATGATTTGATATAAGCACGTTTAAGAGCAATGAGCACAACACATGATTATAGTCTCTGTTTTTTTTTTAGTTGTTCCATTTTTTACTTTTGATACTATTCATCCACTTCACCTTGAGCAATATTTGCTATTCATACATGATGAAAACACAGTTACGTCGGATTCCATTACATTAGTCTCACTATATATCAAAATTATTTTTTTTAATTTAATAATTTTGCAATCATATGATAAAAAATATTAACTCAAATTTGCACATTGGCAAACATGCCAATTCAAAATGGTGAAAATTGGAGGGAGTTGTATTCTAGTCACTTAAAGACAAGAAACATTTTTTTTTTGTACAGTATACTAGATTCAGAAATTAGAGTAATTGAGCATCTAATAAAAAAGTAAATTCGAAAATTTGTCCAGCAAAACCATACCTTTTTATACAATGCCATGAGGTTAGCATCTTCAAAAGGCAAATAACCTGCCATAAGAACAAAGAGAATGACTCCACACGACCACAAATCAGCCTTAGCTCCATCGTAACCTTTGTTGTTGATAACCTACAAAAGATTAATATATAAAAATAACAGTAAAATAATATTCCCTCAGTCAGGAACAAAAAGTTACATTAATAATGACACCACAACGAAATCCTGACAGAACTAATTTGCAGGCTGAGGAGAATTAGCAAAATATTTGTATTGTGAGAAAGCGTCTTATACCTCAGGAGCTACATAATTTGGTGTACCACAAGTCGTGTGAAGTAATCCATCTTCCTAAAAGAAGCATGATGAAAGAGTCACATAAGTCCACTTCTGATAAAGCATATAGAAGCCCAAGCAGGGAACACTTCTCATAATCCTAATGGAGACAGTAATAGACTACACACTTACACGAACTTGCTGAGCCAAAGCACTCAAACCAAAATCCGAGACTTTAAGAACGCCCTTTGTATCTAGCAGCAGGTTCTCTGGCTGTTTACAAGTGGAATAATAATAGAACAAATTCAAAGTTGTTACATAGTACAGTTGTCACTATTGTAAGTTGTAACTAAGTTCCCACATACAGAGTAATAGCTGCTAACAGCTCTGCCTCCTACCACCAAAACAGATGATTTACTCACCTTCAAGTCTCTGTGGAAGACGCCTCTGCTATGGCAATAATCAACAGCATTTATCAGCTGTTGGAAATACTTTCTTGCTTCATCCTCCTTCAATCTTCCCTTGCTTGCCTAGTTCAAAGAATGAGAACTTTAAAAATCAAAAGACAGAAAGCTATTTGCAGTAATTCAATAAATCAGACTGACAGAGCAAAATAATGTGTCAGTAGAGCGTCATTAATTAAGTAAAAGGCATAGACATCTTACAATTTTGTCAAAAAGTTCTCCACCAGTGATAAATTCCAAAACAATGTAAATTTTTGTCCTGCTAGCCATCACCTACAAGTACCACTAGAACATAAATCGATCGCAAAAAGAGAAGAAAAATGAAAAAATGGTCATTAGTATCCACAAATTGCACTAGGATAAGCTATAGGCAAAATCTAAACAGTCTACGTCTAAACCATTAGTAACTGGTTCTTCAATAAGCACTTTTGAAGAATTTACAGCAAACAAGACCAAAAACCCTTGAAAAACCATATATATATATATAAAATAAAAAAAAAAAAACTCAATGACATGGTATGGGATTTATTTGCTTCCAACCTCAAACAAACGGATAACATTTGGGTGACGAATTAACTTCATGGTCGAGATCTCACGTTTTATCTGCAAAGAACATTCAATGATGAGTCATGAACATACAAAGCTAAAGAGGAGGGATTCAAACTCTATAGCATTCAATTATGCAATAAAGTAACAAGGAGCAACCACAAAGCCTTTAGGGGAGGGGAAAGCTATCTTATATCAACAAGAATTGCAAAGTATAACCAGCAAATTATTACTACAAGTAAAAGTATAAAAGCTCTCAGCTTGTAAATAAATGGGTCAAAGCTTCTAAGGGAAAACAAGTTCTCCAGAAAACAGTCTTGGGTGTGCTTAGGCCATCAAACCAGCCCATACAAAGTTGCTATCTCAGCGGCATCATTGCTCCAACCAAGAATTTCCAGCAATCTTGTACAAATACATTCACTTAAAACCAGAATATCATACAACAGATGCAATTTTCAACAGATTTCTTTCCTTGCCATTACAACCCTAAAGAGAGCTAATTCAACACCAGTTTAAAACCCGCCACCAGGCACCATCAACCAACACATATAACCCCTCCCCCACCCCCACCCCTACCCCTTTTTTTTACATGGAAACCAAAAGGTGCTGCAGCAGTTGTCTTTTTCATCAACATTACAATCCCAAAAAGTCACTAAACTTCAACACTAGTGAAGAACTAGAATCAACATATCAAATAAATTCAACATAAAAAGTCATTTCACAAAACATATAATTCCTCAAAAAACTTTCAATCATGAAGATGGTTAGCTACAAGAATTCATCAAAGTCTGCATAATTGATAGTTATAGAAAGCAAAAGTCATACCAAATACTTTTACGATTGAATAAACAGAATTCCATTTCATAAAATAAATTAAATACAGTACTTCAAAAAATCAGCAAACCCAAAAATCCCAGAAAATAAACCAAAAACCCAAATCAACCCAACAACAAAGTCAACTATTTCTATCAAATTTATCAAAAATTAGATTAAAAGAAAAGCAAAAAAACTACCTGACCGATCATTTTATGCTTAAGAACCTTCTCCTTGTCAAGAATCTTGATTGCAACATTTTCACCAGTTTCAATATTTTTAGCAAATTTGACCTTAGCAAAAGTTCCTTCACCTAATGTTTTTCCAAGTTCATACTTCCCAACTCTTGTTCTTCCTCCATTACTACTCCCTCCAACGCTCCCTGATCTCTTTGCCACCTTCGCCGCCATTTCCACCACCTTCTTCTTTCACTCTCCTACGATTATAAATTATTTGTTCATTTAATATAATTATAATTGAGGTAAATTTTAGAGCAAAAACCTCTTCTTTTTACAAGGCTGCCAAATCTGACTCTTTGATACCCTCATCTTACCCAAAAAAAAATTAACCAAAATAAGGATCCAAACAAGAAATATTAATAGTTTTGGAATTATAGTGATTAAAAGTTTGCAAGAGATAATTTCATGGAGTTTATGACTTTAGATTAGAGAGAAAAAGAAAAGGGAAATGGAATTATGAAGTAAAGAAATATTAGTACCCATGTGAGTGTAATTGAGATGATGATATTTGGGTTAAAATTAAGAAATAAAATTTCACTAAATAAGGACAAATATCAGGATATGTCGGCAATTGATATAAATAAGTTGATCAATATAACAATATTCACTAAGCCTCATGGGTTTAGCTAAAATTGGATAAAAATTATTTTCGTGAAATTGATGAATATGGCAACAAATTTCTGGGTTATAATAGTGAATATCTCTATTTTTTTTTTCCAGTTTGGTTGGGTTTTTGGAGAGGAAAGGGATATACCCGTTTACGTTTTCTTTTACGGAGTAATGTACTCACTAGTAATTATGCCCGGTTGTTGCCCCGAGTCAACAGATTTTCATTTATTAGATTTTTTTTCTTAAATTTAGGGTGACTAATGCGCGCGATATGCATACCATATCTAGCATTTAGGGGCTTGATCTTTCGATTTGGTCTTATAAAAACTTTAGAATTTGTTATATATACTAGGGTCATTTGCTCATGTAATCCGCAAATGAGCAAATAATATTTTAACTCATTTGTTGATTAAATGAGCAAATGACCCCGGGTGTATGGTACACCCGGGTGTACATAATAGGCTCTCTACAAACTTTAGTTATTGGTAGCATTAATGAAAAAAAATTATGTAAATAAATATTTTTAGAGATATAAATGTCCGTATACTATTCTTAGAAAAAAAAAATTAAAAAAACAATTAATTATAAAGAGAGCAAATAAGTAAATAAACATTATAAGAGTATAATTGTCCAAACATTATTCATAAGAATTATAAAATAAAAACTTTAATTATTGATTAATATAGATATAGATTTACATTAGTATAGATTTGAAATATCTCGTTTGATAAATAATAAATTTAATATGAATAGGACAAAAATAATACCGAGTACTCAGTTGATATTGTCAGATTTTTATAATTCTTTGTATCAAATGAGTGTAATTCATCACATATATTGTTGCCAAAAAATTAAAATGGAAAATGGGAAATGTAAATGAGTACATCACATAAAAGCATATAAAGTAAAGATGTAAAGCATCTTTTGATATTATTGGAAATGAGATATACCATTCTAATGGTTAATTAAAAAAAATGATGGGTATATTATAGTATAAAATTATCATATTAATGTAGACTTAAATTATAGAATATATCTCCATTTCGAATGTTATTGTTTATAACAAATTCTATATGCACATTAATTAGGGAATTGGAAAGAGAATGTTGACTTGATAATTGGGTGTAATAACTTGTTTTTTTTAAAAAAAAAGCAGATAAAATAAGAGATCAAGTGTAGAAAGATACTCCCTCCGTCCCTTTATTAGAAGCATATTTCTAATATTTATTACTCACATAATAAAGAAAAATAGGCTTCTAATTTAGAGACGGAGGGAGTATTATATAAGTATTTGTTTAAAAAAAAATACTATACAAGTACAAAAAAAAAAGACAAAAAAAAATGTAAGAAAGAGTAATTGAAAATGTATAAATACTATACGTATGAGATAAAAGGGTTATGAGAAGACATTCCTAATGTACATACTCTATACTTATTAATGTCAAGAGTGATATATTGACATTTTATACAATAAATTATACTTATAAAAATTTGGACAACATTATTTTCAATGTATAAATTTGACCATAAATATATATTATTCCCTCCATCACCTTTTTTATGGATACAATTTGACTTTGATGGTTAACGTTTAAAAACTTTAGCTATAAAAACATACTGTTATTAAGATCAAAATCATGTCATACACTCTGTAGAAAATTATTGGCTTCATCTTGATATAATTTTCATAATATCAATATTTTAGAATTTTACTCAAATTATATGAGTATTGAATATATACGTGGTCAAACATGTACATTGGAGACCATAAAGCCAATGTTTAACCATAGAAAAAAGTTAAAAAGAGTTCGCACAATTTTATGTTATTAAAAAACCACTTCTCCCGTTCTTTTTTTTTACTTTGACCTGTTTTATTTATCACGCTTGCGAATGCAAAACTTTGACAATCAATAATAACTTTAATTCCCCATAAGTAAAGATTATAAAATTATATTATAATAGTACTTATTGAGATGAATCTAACAAGATCTCACATAAATATATTTTTACTTACGTATAATTCACAAAAAACGGTCAAAGAAGAGGTAGTGAATCCCTACCTTTTCTAAAGTATCACTCAACTCTTATGAGTAGTGTTGAGACTAATATACTCCTCAAAAAGTTCATTTACATATTTACCCTTATATTTTTGCTTTTACATTTTTAATAAGCATGATATAGTAGTTAAGGAAGGCCCAAATACTTGGTTAATTGCTTGATAAAATTATCATTTAAGGGTTTTTTTTTTTTTTTTTTTTTTTTTTTTTTTTGGTGTAATTGTAACACTTGATTATGTAGGATAGGGTGACCAACCCTTTTGTATACCAAAAGATAATTTAAACGTTTTTGTATATACTACATATGCACCTTTAAATTTTTATAATTTCTTGCAGAAAGTTTTTGTATAGTATATCTTTTCATTTGATTCACATGATTGTATTCTATAATTAAATATTTAACCATAATTATTTTTTGTTCTAGACTAAAGCCATTAATTTGTATGATTAGATCTCTCAATCAACTCTGACCATATGATAATAAATTGAATTATATTAGTAAAAAGTAACTATACAAATTTTTTATTTTTTGTGTTAGTAAAACTAAGAAATCGAGAATGATGTGTGTTTCGGGGTTTTCTGATGTCCTGCGGGAGAGTTACAATTCCGACACTGGAACCGGACGCCTGTACCTGCAAAACAACGGAGACTCCTTGTGGTGGGAGCTCCGCCTCCAACGATCAAGTTAGTACTTGTTTGAGGAGTAATAGATGCGGAAATTAAAGGTGGGAGATCTGGTTCCTCTAGGGGAGGAGTGATCAATGTGTTTAGACTTCTCTAGGTGAGAGTCATCAATTGCTTAATAATCTGCTTTTTAGCGTAATCTCCCTTAATGAGGATTAAGGGAGGTATTTATAACCTTGGGAAATGTGTCAATCCTAGGTTTAGGTTAACCTAGGGCTAATTGGGCTTCCCTTGGAAGTTGGGCCTGGGTGGCCGGTTTCTCCATTAGGCATGGAGTATGCCACGTGTCATGACATAATAGGTCCAAGGTGGACGAATAAGCGTGTGCCACGTGGCAAGCCCTGACAGTTCCAACTGGGGGACACTTGGCAGGACCTGATTGGCCCACGTGGCGCATTCCGATTGGTGGGAGCAAAATCCCCTAATCATTTGCCCCTCATAGGTGGCACGTGAATGGTCACGTGTTACCTGTGACAGGTATCGCCCTGTAACAGGCGACGACCTGCTACAGGTGTCAGTCGGCGAGAGGCCGAGAGATTCTCCCGCCAAAATTTTGAATTCTGGAAGTGACCCTTCGCCTTCTCACTTCGCCTATATAAAGGAGTGTTGACTTCGGTCATTTTCACACTTGAAAACTTTGTGAGAGAACATTCGGACCCCTGAACTTGCTCTGACATTTTGGACCCTTTCTGCCTACCGCCTGCTCTGACAAGCCGACTTCAAAGGATTTTCAGAACTTCATCAATCGTCACTCGTTCAGGTAACCGTCGGTTCTCTTACTCTTAATTTTCTCTTTACTTTATTCTTTTTTGAAATGGCACCACGGAAGCACACGACACGACCTAGGTTAGTGATCAGCCGGTCACCGGGGACGGCTGAATCTAGGACTAGGAGTGCCGCCTGCCCTTTTCTGGACCCATCTTTTCCCTTTATACAAAGTCCGACTGTATCTGTGTCTATGCAGAGCATGATGGCCAGAACAAAAAAGACTGCCAGGATCTCAAACTCAGACGGCTCCTCCCACAGGGTGCCGATTAGTGAGACATCTGACCAGGCGCCAGATGTGGAAGTGAAACAAAGCGGCTTGAAAGCCGGCAGTTCTGAGGGAGGAGTCAAAGTGACCCCTTCCCATTTTACAGTTGACAATTCTACATTCTCTCCTGCTCCTTTTAAAGGAGAGGAGGCGGGCCCCTCCGGGAGAGGGGAGGAGTCGTCCTCTTCGGACTCGTCAGAGGACGATTCCGAGTCTAGCTCTTCTGGCCATGCTTCTCTGGACACAGAAGAGAAAAACAGTCGCCTGCAAGAGGCGAGGCTTTCTCACGCAGTTGAGAAGGGGGACGATTGGGCGGAGCCATCCGCCTCTCACCGAGAGCAAAATACCCCCTACTACTGCACGGTACCTCGGGGCCGGATCACAGCCATGCAAGAGAAAGTGGAGAGCTTTATCGCAAACCACACAATGGGCCCCGGCTTTTTAGTGTTTGTGCCGGATCCAGAAGACACAGTCGTCTGGCCGGCTGGTACCAGTTATGATAGCGCCTGCTTTGGCTGCTACGAGGCGGCCATCAAGGCTGGGCTGCGCTTCCCACTACATCCGGCTGTTCAGCGGATCTTGGATGGGTATGAGTTGGGGTTATGGCAGTTAGCCCCGAACTCCTGGGTCAACGTACTCGGCTATGTGGCCGGGTGCGAACTGCACGGGGTGGAGCCGAGCTTCGAGGCTTTCGCCCACATGAACTACCTCAGCCGGACCCCTAAGGCAGGCGGTACCGGCTGGTATCAATTGACGAGCCACAGGGGCTACCTCATGACGAGAGGTAAAGCAAACAAATGGAAGGACTGGTGGAGCACCTTCCTCATCATTGAGAGTTCAGACACAGAGCTGAACAAGCGCTTCAACAGGTGGAACAGGAATTCGCCCCTTCTTGCAGGCGGCCGCAGCATGCCGCCTGTTCCCCCCAAGGCTAAGAAAGAGATCCTAGATAAAGGACTCTTCAAAGTAGAGTCGAAGGTGAACTCTACTTCAGGGGTACGAGAGCAAGTACCCCTGCACTGCGTCCCGAGCTTCAAATGGCTCTACTACGAGTACTTTTTGGCCGCCTGTGGCCTCAGTAGTCGGTGCTCAAGAGGTAGCCGGCCTGTCGAATACTCTGTTGTTCCGTGCATTTCTTGTTATGACTTTTATTAACTTTGCTATTTGTTTTTGCAGCGGACGCCATGAGCAAAATTACCGCCTCCAAGACTGCGGCGGCCATGTTGCGGGCCTCCATCATGCAACAGTCTTCAACCGACTCCCCCAACAAGGGGGCACCCTTGGTGGGCTTCGAACCTTTCACCCTCTTTTTGGAGTTGTGTTTATGCATATACTGACTTCTTCTTTTTTAGACGGGCGCTCCAAGAGCTTCTTCTTCCCAACAGCCGGACCCCAAGGCCCGGAGGACGACTGTTGCGAGCTCTCCTGGTTCTTCC